TGTCATTTCAGTTTGATTCAATCTCAATTATGTTTTGTAATTTTTTTTCAACCCCCTCCTGAAATTAATTATTCTTCTTCAAGAAATATTGAATCAATAGAAATATTTCGAAAACGTAAAATATTTAAAAAAGCGTGGCAATTTATTGTAAAAACATAACATGTTCTGTTTTTTTGTGTTTTTTTTTCTTGGGGGGGGGGGGGGGGGATTTTTATGCCGGAAAGGCAATAGTAACTCACAACACATTATATATCAACAATTTGTTCCCTGGGTCGTCAAATTTAAATGATTTAGATGAGCTCTGAAAGGAAAGAGATAATGAAATGTCCATCTACCGAGTGCAGAAAAACCTCCACCATATTGAATAAAATATGCAAATGACTAGATACAATATTTTGGTTCCTTTCCATTTTCAAAATATTTCGCATTATTTTAGCATTTTCATTGTGTTAAAGATCAATTAAATGATACATTTTGTAAGAAATTAAAATTGTTTTTAGGGTAAAAAAGATATCGTTATCCTTTATTGCACAAACCACCACTGGACTGGAGAGATTGACCTGTTAGTTACTGCTGGAAAAGAGTCAACGTTCATGAATTGATATGTCCAATACTTGGAAGAGTAATTTCGGCATTGTTTGTGAAACTAATTTCATCTTTTGTGAAAAATTATAATTCGATGTTGTCCAATAATTCAACCTTACAGTGATATACAGTTCAGTTGCTTGTCATGCAACTATTGTTAATAAAAGTGTTGCACAGAGAGTAAGCATATTTTGTATTTCGGAACAGAAAAGGAGCTTAAAATATTTCATAAAAAAGTTATTATTGTTAAGCCTGCGAATTACATGTGTACATCAACTTATGCAAAATAGACAATTGTGCACTCAGAATTGTGCATAGCAAATAGTGATAATATCAGAACTTTTCATTGTTTAAAGACAAATTTTCTAATGGTCTGAAATCGGAAAGCGGCATTGGCGATCACTTGAAATGGAAATTTAGATTTTGTATTTAAAGATAAAAGAAATGAAAGAATTTGGCTAATGTAATAATTCTGTTTAAAAAGTTGTTTTGTATTGCAAACTATTTTACCATGAACAATAATTTTTTTTCGGAATCATCAAAATTTAAAATTGCATGATACTAAGAATACTGAACTGGAAATATATCATCACTATGAGGGTACACACCTCTTTATCATGCAAAGGCAAATGCAAATATTCTTCCTACTTTGATTGTTAATTTTACTTGTTATATTTGTCATTGTCGATATTTCATAACTGGTTTGTCCATTAATGTGATTGCATAATTAAACAGCCGTTTCTTTCATCTGTTTTTTGTTCTCAAAGGTTGATTTTAATTCTTTCAACATGAGACCAGATCTTCATTTGGGCGCCCACTCACATGTTTAACCCCGCCTCATCATTTATGTGCCTGTATCATGTCAGGAGATTGTAATTCAGTGGTTGTCGTTTGTTGCTGTGTATCATATTTTTTATTCGTTTGTTGTTTTGTACATAATTAATGCTTTTGATTTCTCTTTTGGAATTCTTTACATTTTGTTGTGTCTCGGACTTTTATGGCTTGCTATGCCGTTTAGATTTTGAAAGTACATAAGTATTACCAATTCACCATGATAAAGAAGGTTTATAATGTAATGTCTTTCGGGTTCAAATAAATTAAATTTGGTTAGCGATGCGAAATTTTCCAAAAACATGTAAAATTTACATTTTTGTATCATAATATGCTATTATCAGCAACAAATAGCGCTAAATAACATTTTGATTTAAATTTATGGAGTTTTAATAATCAAGATTGGGAAAATCTTTAAGAAAATGATGAAAACCGTTTAATAATCATTTTCCGGTAGGATTTTGCAACTTTTAGATATTCACCTTGCAATTTGAAAAAATACAGGGGAAATTGGCCATATCTCTTTGCATTGTAGAACATCTGGCGAAAATCCTATTTTTTTATCTGTCACATCTTTGTTCATAAAAGGCATCGTGAGGTTTTAGTATAGATTGACTTTTATGACTAGTGTGAAATGAATTCCCCATTTTCAGATGTATTTGCACGCACGTTGCGAAAATGTATAAATTTCAATCGACAAAGAGAGGCACGTTTTTACTGACTATTATGCAAAAGAGAACCTTCCTTTCATATACAATATTTTCAACCAAGTACAATGTTATCTTGCATGCGTACAACACCTCTGTTTTCAAATTTAAATGAAATCAATGGATTTCGTAAAATTAACGACTCCAGAATATCTTTCACAGTTGATGAGTATTTGAAACATCAGTATTAAATATATTATGCTGAAATTTTTTTTCTTATGCACCGATCTTTTTCCTTTTAAGGAAGAGGGTCACATTTTTTAAAAATAAATTGTTTGACTAAACGTTTTTTAGAATGCATTGCATAGGTATGGGTTTTGCTCATTGTGGAAGGCCGTACGGTGACCTATAGTTGTTAATTTCAGTGTCATTTGGTCTCTTGTGGAGAGTTGTCTCGTTGGAAATTATACCACATCTTCTTATTTTTATATCTCTTCATTACAACACACAGCTAAAATGGTGTCAATCAATTTAAGAAGGCGAGGAAAACGGTCATTTGTATCCAATGAATGGTCCATTGTATATAGTGATGAAGAGCGGTAATGCTTAAACACATCGAATGACATTGTCATAATTAATGACAATGTCGTATAAACAACAAAATGGACTACTACATAATCACGATTGTAGAATCATAATTCAAAATAAAGTTGAAATTGGCAAGTAGATTTGAAACCACGGTCATGCTGATTTGTGTAAAATGTTGGGCAGAATTAAATATACTAGCTTGCGTCTAAAAACATGGTATTTTCAATTCGAACGACAAGTAATTATATGTATTTTTATTAATGTAAAAGTAGAAAACTAATAAAACAAAAACAAAAAAAATATGAGGAATGCAAAGTCAGTTGTTGATCTTACATTAACAAAATTATAGACAATCTCATTAAGATTATTTACCAAATCTAAACGAAAAGTGTTAATGTGTTTTTCGCTAACAGATATTTCCAAAAGACGGTCACAAAATATAAAAGTTTCAAACAAAAAATAGTATTGATGATGTTATTTCCATTAACAATCCAAACTTTTTCTGATCGGGTTCCATTAATATATCCTACAGAACTAGACCTTTAAGAACATACACGGTTTCTTCCTCGCCTCATCTTAAGAGTCTACCTCGAATTTGACATAAGCGGTAATCTCAGTACCAGAATCTATAACAAACGAGACGATTTAAATTTTGAAATTATAAATTCCCTCCACCGTAGCAGCAATATACAAACTTCACATGCATATTGGATATACATTTCCCAACTCATTCGGTATTTAATAGCTTGCAGCTGCTACTCAGACTTTATAAAACGTCACAAGTGTCTGAGCAGAAAGTTGATGAACCAGGGTTATGTCCATTTTCTAAAAAATTCATCGAAAAATACCAAGACCTTGTTGATAAATATTCCGTATCAACTTCACAAATAGTATATGATGGTCTTGAAGCATAGATTTAGAAACTGATTTTTTTTGTCATCTTAATTACGAGTTATAGTGTTCTTTTTGTTTGTCTTTGTATATTTTCAACCTTTACTGTTTAGTCCATTTTTGATAATATCCCTTAGGCGAGGCTCGGTATTTATACATCTCGTCATTGTGGTATTGTGCTATGGTTATTTTTTTTTTGTATTCTTGGCTTTCATTTTTGCTTATGTGCTTTGTCTGTATGCCATTTTGTTTTCTTTGTTGACACAGTTGGTTGTTTTTGGAGTGATTAAGATTGTAACACGATGTTTGCTGTACCCCCATTTTTGACTTTTTTATCTATTGTGTCTGTTAGTTTTGTTCACACATTGTTGTCAAATTAATGGAATTGTTGATTTCACATTTAATGGAAGTCTACGAAATTATCTTTTCTAATTGAAAATTGTTCAGCATTTCTAACAAACAGGTGTTTCCAAAAGACCGCCAGAAAATAATTAAACTAGACGTTTCAGACAATTTCAATAGTCAATTACTTGAGCAAATAAAGCTGCCATGTATGTTAGGGATAGCATTTGTTGAAAATCATAATAAAATAGAAATAAAGTTAAACTGCATGTACCCGAAAAACAAATATCATGCCAGAGCACAGTTGAATTGTAGATAAGTCTTTGGTTTGAAATCTGAGGAATGTCTCAGAAAATGTCAAAATATTGATCAAATCTGAACGCAAATTGATTTGGCGCTAAAAACAACCGGTATATCAAATTGATTGTCAGAAAATATGTTTACAAGAAGTTTCAGACCTTTTATTGAAATCTATTTTAGCATAAATAACGGCATTATGAGACGTAGATTAACATTCTTAAAAAGGCTGAAGACAATTGTCTCGCATATTGAAAAGTTCTCTCATATATTGTGTTATCATTTGCCGTTTTCATTCATATTGAACTTAAAAGAAAAAGAAAAAAATGGAAAATCACAAATATGGTGTTTATCTCCAAATGCATTAACTCTGTTATTGAAAGATAATTAGTTCCTATAAAACTTTGAATAAAATAAAATATGTTAGCCTGTATTTAAAAAAAATTCACCGTTCACGCAATTTAAACTACAAATCATTGTTTTGTTTTCTTAAAAAAGGATTTCGAAGACCGTCTCGAAAATCTTCGACCTTCTTAATTTTAAAAATAATTAATAAACGCTTTTACCAAAAGTTTTTTTCGCTCTGACTGCCAAAAACTATTAAAACTTGACATACAATCAATTGAAGACAGCCTAATGTTTGGGGGAAATATAACTTTATCGTACAAATTAAATTTGTTGAAAATTTTGATAACAATGAAAACAAGGTATCTGCCTTACTAATACTAAACATTCTCAAACAATGTTTGACTTATGTTTTGAAAAAATCGTCTAAGATATTATTTTTTCTTATAATGTATTGATGCATTTATATTTCAGAGAGAATAAGAACAGCAAATCACAGCTGGGTCAATATCCCTAATGCGCTTCAAATTGAGGAACTCAAAAGTAGTGCGTTAACAAAAATATCTGTGCTGTAATATTGGACATGTTTCAATTTTTTAATAAGTGACTGAACTTAACCATTCAGTTAACCATTTTACTCATTTGGAGAGCAGAGGAACATGGAATAAAGGTTTATAAACTATGGAGTTATTAAATTATGAAAAGAAGTAAATTTGCAAAGAACGTATTGTGTGAAAAAGGGGATTTCTATCTCGAGAAGCCGCATCGCAAAAGGCTTTTTGGGGTGTGCTAAATTATGGAAAACAAATCGCACTTTGTAACCCGAAAATTTAACCACATATGTGCGAATATCTCAGCTTTGAAACAATCCATCACATATATCCAAGTTTACGATATGGGCAGATAAATGGAGGAAATGGCTACCTCTACCGCCTACCTGAAATGAATTGCTCATCTTTACCCAGCTACGATGAGTATCTTAAAATGTACCCGCTATGTTAGTTAAAGATAACAAATTTAGATAAAGTGTTGGTTAGAAATAAATATAGCACCATGCATTAAGAAAACGCCGTACTTTCAATTAAGAACGAGAAGCAATTTTTTTTTTTAGTTTGAATTTTACTAAAACATCCAATAAAACGTAAAAATCAAAGTAATGATTAATTCAACATTAGTTGTTGATTAAACATTTGATGGAAGTCTTCGAAATTGGCTTATCTAATTGAAATTGTCCAGCGTTTCAAACAAATAAGCGCCAGCAAATAATTTAACTTGAATTTTTAGACAATACCAATAGTCAATTATTTGAGTAAATATAGCTGATACGTAAGTTATGGATAGTATTTGTTGAAAAACAAAATGAAAATGAAAATAAAGTTCACTGGATGTATGTGAGGAACAATTTAAATCATGTACATGTCAGAGCAAGTTCAATTGTAGATCAGTTTTTGGTTTGAAATATGAGGAATGTCTTGTAAAACACCGTACTTTCAATTTAGAATGACAAGTAATTTTTGTGTGTGTTTGAATTTCCAAAAAAAAGTCAAATAAAACGTAAAAACGTTAGAGTAATGATTTATTCAACATCAGTTGCTGATTTAAAATTCGATGGAAATCTACGAAATTGTCTTATCTAACTGAAAATAGTTCAGCGTTTTTTTTTTATTAACAGGTGTTTCCAAAAAACCACTCGAAAATAATTAAACTTGAATTTTCAGACAATATCAATAGTCAATTGATTGAGCAAATATAGCTGCTATGTAAGTTAAATATCTTGATGAAAATGAACACAAAGTTAACTGACTGAATAACACTAAACATCCTAAAGCAATGTGCAACTAAAGTTTTGAACAAAAATCGTTTAAAATAAATTTTTGTTGTAATAACAATTTTATTTTATAACATTTTATATTAATTAGTATAGTAATTTTCATTGTTATTAATAAATGTTATATGAGTATTATAAACCAAATCTTGAATTCTATCCTAATTTTATCCTATTTTGGGGAAATTTCAGAAATTCAAATGTGACTTCACTTTTTTTGCGCTGATCTCTTTGGCTAACTCGGCTGTGAATTTTTATGTGCTGGTTTATGTTGTTTTATGTATCCGTTTTTATTCTGTAGTTAGTCACCACTTCGGTCTTATCATGTATATCTATTATATAGTCATTTTTATAAATTTACTGTTTGCAAAAGTATGAATTATTCTAAATACTAAGGATTTACTTATCCCAGACATATAACCTTAGCCGTGTTTGGCGCAACTTTTTGGAACTTTTGGTCCTCAATGCTCTTCAACTTTGTACTTGTTTTGGCTTTCGAACTTTTTTGATCTGAGCGTCACTGGTTAGTCTTGTGTGGACGAAACGCGCGTCTTGCGTATTAAATTTTAAACCTGGTACCTTTTGTTAGCTATTATTCGTATGTTTCTCAGTCCTATATGTTGTCCCATTTATTTGTATTGTAGTCCTGTCATGTAATGTTATCATTTTAATGTAATATTTAACATTGCCATAAAAGCGGTAGGTTTGGCTAGTCACAAAACCAGGTTCAACCCACCATTTTTTTCTTAAAATGTCCTGTACCAAGTCACGAAAATGACCATTGTTATATTATAGTTCGTTTCTGTGTGTGTTACATTTTAATGTTGTGTTTCTGTTGTGTCGTAGTTCTCCTCTTATATTTGATGTGTTTCCCTCAGTTTTAGTTTGTAACCCGGATCTGTTTTTTTCTCAATCGATTTATGAATTTCGAACAGCGGTATACTACCGTTGCCTTTATTTATGCATCTATATCTAAGAGAGCAAATCACAGCTACGGTGAGTAATTCAAATGTACTGTCTTTGTTATTTAAAGAGAATAAATTAAAATAAATAGTTGATGAAATTGAATTAAACTAGCGTGCATTTAGAAAACACATACTTCCAATTAAGAACAACATGTATTTTTTTTTGTGTTTAAATTTTACTAAAAAAAATTAAAAAAATACGTAAAAAATTAAGGTAATGATTAATTCACCATCAGTTGTTGATTTTAAATTTTGAATTAGCCTTTGCCATTGTTGTATTTAATTGAAAATTGTTCAGCGTTTTTAACTAATAGGTGTTTCCAAGAGACCGCCAGAAAGAAATAAACCTGAATTTACAGACAGTAGCAATAGTCAATTATTTGAGCAAATATAGCTACTATGTAAGTTATGAATAACATTTGTTGAAAAACATAATAAAATTAAGTTAACTGAAAGTACCTGAAAAACAAATAACATAATATAGCAAAGTTAAATTGTTTTTGGTTTGAAATATTAGGAATGTTTCAGAAATTGTCGAAATATTGATCAAATCTGAACGCAAATTAGTTTAACGCTAATACAACCGGTATTTCATGTTGACCATCGAAAAAAATGTTTACAAGAAGTTTCAAACCATTTATTGTTCAACTATTTGAGCATAAAAAACGGCATTGTGAGTTGCGTATTTACATGTTTGAAACGGCTGAAGACAATCTTCTTGCATATCGAGAATTTCTGTCATATATAGTGTTTTCTTTTGCCGTTTTCATTAATTTATCTTTAAAACAAAAGAAAAAGAAAAAAACGGAAAATTACAATTATGGTGTTTATCTCAACACGCATTGTCTGTGTTATCTAAAGATACTTAATTCAGATAAAACTTTGGATACAAGAATACATAATAGCCTGTAAAAAAGCACCGTTATCGCAATTTAAACTATAAATCATTGTTAATCTTTTGAGTCTTGTTTTCTCAAAAAAAAAAAAAAAAAAAAAAAAAATCAACCTCGACCTTTTTAATTTTAACGGAAATTATTAAACGTTTTTGGCTGGGGATATATAGCTCTATCGTCAAGATTAAATTTGCTTAAAATAGATGAAAATGAAAACAAGGTTAACTGCCTGAATAACTCTAAACATTCTAAAACAATGTTTGACCTACGTTTTGAAACAAAAATCGTTTAAGGTGGGTTTTTTTTTCTGATAATGTTTTTATGCATTTATATTTTAGAGAGAATAAAAACAGGAAATCACAGCTGGGTCAATATCCCTAATACGCCTCAAATTGAGGAACTTAAAAGTTGTCCGTTAACAAAAAGAATATGTGCGGTGATATTGGACATGTTTCAATTTTTAACAAGTGACTGAGCTGATGCTGACTTAGAGAGCAGAGGACCATGAAAAAGTTGTCAAAACTATAGAGTTATTTAATGTATACAAAGAACTAAATGTTTTAAAGAACTGATTGTATGAAAAAAAGCGATTTCTTTACCTCGAGAAGCCGCATCACAAAAGGCTTTTCAGTGTCTGCTAAATTATTGAAAAAGTAATTCACTTCGTACCTTGAAAATTTAACCGCATATGTGAAAATGTCCAAGCTTCGAAACAAGCCATCAAACATATCTAAGTTTACGATATGGGCAGAGAAATAGAGAAAAAAAGGCTACCGTTACTGACTACCTGAAATGAATTGCGCACCTGTACCCAATTTGTGGACTTTATTTTAGAAGTTGTCAGACTGATTAAATATTGATTGCGTCACCAGAGCAAATTATAAAAATGAAGGTTTGTTGTCTTTTATGAATACCTAGGTATCACAGTTTTTGATAAAACATTATTTATAAAGATGAGCAACAATTTTGCTTTAGAAATGTATTCCTGGCACGGAACTGGAACACTTCTTTTAGACACAATCAAAATCGGTGTTTACATGAGACGATGAAATGCACATGTCATTGACTTAAAGAAGGGACTAACTTTTTATGGAAACATTTAATATTGTTAAATTGCAAGTCAACATGACACAACAAAAGACAATTTATGCCATTATCATTAAAATTGACATGAATAGCTGATAGTGCAAGGGAAATAACACACTTCATACGAGTATTTGATACATGTGTTGTACACCAATAATTTGACCATTTATTAGCAGCTGGTCACTAACACAATCAAATAAACAGATAAAATGAAAAAAAATGCATAATACTTTGAAGAATTTATTTTTTTTTCTCTCATTTATATAGTTTGTATTCAATAAATGAAATGATATAACAAACTGATCAATGTTTTGTCTTATTTCAGTTACTGACGTATCATTCCAGTTTATCATGAGACGGCAATTAGAGGTTTTAAAAAGTTCTGAATTACTGTTAAACATTGCATTTTTATCTAGCAAGCTCTTAATTGTATATTTATGGTATTTATGCAACTAGAATTGAAGTCAGTATGTTGAAAATATCCTGATTTGAAAACTGTTGCTATGATCTGGACATTAGATAAAAATGCTTAATTACTGATCTTTTCGTCTCGACATCTTAAGCTAAACCCTTGGGCAACTGTTTGTTATGTAGCACTGCAAACTGTTGTTAGCATATTTCTAATTAGTCGTTATTTAATGCAATCAAAATACGTGTGATGCCATAATGATTACTGAAAAAACCAAATCTGCATTTCTCACTAATAAAGGGTTTTCACTGAAATACATCTAAAAAAATATATATTTTAAGTAGTATAATGTGACAATTTTTAGAAATTTGCTCTTTATTGCGCTTTCAATTATATGATAACAATGATGTTCACAGCAGATAAGAGTGGTTATTAACGTTGAAATACCAGATTTCTAGTGGTAACAATTTTAAAGTATTTTTTAGGGTTTTTGGAAAAAATCTACATTTTTGCATCACTTCTCAATTTAAATGCACTTTTAGACACCAGAAATATTTATTAAATGCTTATAACAAGGTATATGTATTGTGATTGAAGGTTATCATCAAATATTTCATCTATATTGTGACCTATTAAGGAATACTGGAAGAAATCAAGTATACTTACACATTGTATTCAGAATGATTAAATATAGCGATATTAGGGTAAATGCATTCTAGTGCTGAAACAACCTTATTTTCTTTCAGAAATGAACAAAAACACACAGATTTCTTCAGAAAGCTATACAGAAAAAGATCATACAAAATACTTTAAAAAATCAGAACTATTGATTTCAACATGGTTCAATATCCCAAATGCGCCTCAAATTTAGGAACTCAAAGGTAGTGCGTTAACAAAACGTATAGTGCATATAAATTGGAAATGTTTCAATTTTCAACAAGTGACTGAGCTAACCCATTTGTCCTGATGTAGAGAGCAGAGGACCATAGAATAAAGGTGTAAAAACCATGGAGTTATTAAATGTGTGCAAAGAACTAAATTCTCAAAGAACTTATTCTGTAAAAAAAAGGATTTTTTTACCTCGAGAAGCCACATCACAAAAGGCATTTCGGGCAGTGCTCAATTATGGAAAAACGAATCTCACTTCGTATCCCGAAAATTTAACCACATATGTGCAAATGTCTCATCTTCGAAACGAGCCATCGTATTTATACAAGTTTACGATATGGGCAGAGGAATGGAGGAAAAGGCTACCTCTACCGCCTACTTGAAATGAATTGCTAATCGTTACGCAGCTAAGGTGAGTATCTCAAAATGTTATTGCTACATTGTAATGCACTGCAACAAATCATAGTGTCTTTTCTCAGTGAAAAAGGTGGAAGGCCAAACCTTTTAAAAAACACAGGGCCTTAACTATCAGCTATGAAGCTTCAACTGATTGCTCTTCATCAAAAAGGTTCAAATGAATGTTGTGAAGCCAAAAGAGGGAAGCATCTTTCTTTGTTGTGATAATACTTTGAAGAATTTGATTTTTTGTTTCTCAATTATATAGTTTGTATTTAAATGAAATGATATAACAACCTGGTCAATGTTCTGTCTTAATTTAGTTTTTGACGTGTCATTCCAGTTTAACATGAGACGGAAGATTAGAGGTTTAAAAAGTTCTGAATTACTGCTAGTTACCAATTAATCATCGTTTTACAGAATGAATGATATCGGATGTACATCAGAATTTGAAGCATTCTTGAAAATTAGCCACAATCACAGATATTTTCAAAATTATTGGATACCGAGAATACGTCAACAAATTAAAATAGTTCTCCGTAAATGTGTTACCTGTCGTAAAGTAACCAGAAGACCGTACAGCGTATGCATATATGTGTATATTTGTTATAGCAGAGATTGAAATCCTTTGATTTAAAAGGTTTTATTCTAAAAAGTATGTTAAGAGGTATATTCTTTGTTTTTTAATGAATGTTATAGATTTTCTTGTCGTATAACAAGAAGGGGTGTCAGGATTGATCAAATGAAAGACCGACCGTTATACGACAAGAAAATTTCCATTATCTGACTTATAAACCGTCAAAAATTATTAGTTTCTGCAAAGATTTGTAGGATTGTTTCCTATTTTACCGAACACGTTAAAGTGGGATATTCTTTTCTAATGCGTTTAGGTTTAAATACGCCGTACGGCTCATTTAGAATAGGAAATAAAACTAACTAATTAATAAAGATATAAAATATAAAATCACTGTCCAGTTACAAAAAAATATTACTGTTACACGAAGAAAAAAACAAATGATTTGTTACTGTGTTTGAAAAATAAGCAAGTAATTTATTTAATCAATTTCATAAAAGGGGGATATTATGTTTTTCTCTCTTGTTTCTTGCTATTTTTAACGCGGATTATTTTTTCAATAATTTGTAACGAACTATTTAGAATGACTGTTTACCTTATTTTGTCTGGCAATACATATTTTCTTCACTAATTGATAAAATAGTATAACCCCCTCCCCCCTAGTTATGAGGTATGTGGCTGTTCTTTTATAGAAAACAAATGAGAGAAAACGATAAAAATCAAGAAATGGCAAAATTGCAATGTTATGTTTCACGAAAAACGGACAAAAGTACGATTTCCAATACAGTGTGAAACAACAAGATTGTATTTGGCTTTGAGCGTTCCTGATGAAGGTAAATCCAGAAAAGCGCTTCGGACGCATGAAATTTATGAATTTGGCTATTGTTTTATGTACTTTTTGGTTATATAGCTCTTCAACTGTTTCGGTCCTTTTACATCCTCGGTTTTCAAATATTTGGCTTGGAGCGTTCCTGATGAAGGTAAATCGAGAAAAGCGCTTCGGACGCCTGAAATTAATAACGTTATGTTCTCATTTATTGTATACTTTTGATTTTAAAAATTCCTACACATGAAATTTGATACAATTTAGCTTGTTTTAAAGGTGTTATAAAAAGTTTTGTATTATTAAAAATGTCTCACACAATGTCCCTTTATTGTAGAGATAAATTAACAAAACATATTTGTTTCGAAATTTCTAATATGCGTTAACCACGTTTTCTGGTATTCCATTCTAACAAACGGAGGAAACGATTGTTTCTGCATTAAACGTATCAAAGATGGCAAATTGAAAAGTAAAACCCCAATTGACAACACACGATAACTATCAAATGTATTGAATGATTTAGTAAACTGTTGTTTGCATTTAAATCAAGGAAAATAATGACTTTACACAGGTCATTATTCTATGTCAGAACCACATTTCATTGAAACTTGGCATCATCCTGGTATCTTCAAAAGCATGACTTGTCGTTCATAAAGACAGTAATACCATATAGGTATATGATTGAAATGAATTTCAAAGCAGTGCCTCTATAACCACAAATAACTTCGTCCGTATTTTTTTAAGAACAGTTACGAGTAACTTTAGCACACACGTCAATAGAAACATTTATATCTTCAAATGATGAGTTGAATAGCAAACCGAGCATGTCAAAATCGAATAGCAAAGCGAGCCTGACAGAATTGATTGCAAAGCGAGCGTGTCAGAACGAGATCATTGAAAAGAACTCGAAGCATAACGAGGGACAATGTGTTACTTCGAAATACTTCTCTTTCTATTGGTGACATGTTGAGCGCTGGCCTAATTCATGTAAGACAAGAAGTAACGCAAGTGTACCTACTCTTCAATTTATCATATATTATTTATTTATTTATTTATTGATGGCATGTTGAGCGCTGGCTTAGCTTATGCTTACAAGGACTCATTTTGCAACCTGAGATGGGTAAGTTCGAGTAAAAAAAACCATTTACACACTAAAAATTGATCCAAAAGATCTTTTAACTGGATAAACAAATGATTCTTTCAGCCGACAAGAGGACTGCTTAGTTATCCGTTTTATTCAGGGCTGCCTGAGAATAATTTTGTGACGAGTAAAGAATAGGTGAAATCCATCATTGCATTGCCCAAACGAAATGAGTTACGCATGCCGCCCTTGTAACGCATTGAGTGTCCCCAAAATTATTCCGAGATAGTGATAGTGCCAAAATCAGATAATGATATTGCCAAAATGAGGTGCAAGTATGACTAAAACATGTGAATGCTCATTGTTGAGCGTACCTGATGAAGGTAAATCCAGAAAAACGCTTCGGACGCATGAAATTTATAACGTATTGTTTTCATTTTTTTTCAACTGTGAAATAGTAAAAACAAAAACAAAAAGAACAAAATCTCCATCATCAAAATAAAAACGTGAAATACAAACTAAAGATAAGAAACACTAAACATAATTCTATCTGAAACGATAGTAAACGAATGTTATTGCATATTTCAAAAGTAATACTGCATGAGTAGCTGACAACCGCATTTTTAGTCCTTGTGTGACAATATGTCTTGAGCTTGCCTAAACATTCGTAAAGGGTATGCTTTTGCAAACCAATAATGATCGTTATCCGTTGAACTGTTCAATCTTCGGAAAAGCATGTGCTGATAATTATTCATTTGGCAAACAGTTAGATCTAAATGCTAAATCATCGACAGTAAGGTTTAAATAATCACCCCTCCTACTGAATAAAGCCTATAACTAGAGTAACAGTCAGAATCCTCACGAGCTAAAGATGACCTGTACGTAGAAACTATGAATGCTACTTTTATAATTCACAGTACGTATAGTGTCCGGCTGTGATCGTATTTTTTCGAGTAATTTGATTGAGTTTTTTCGAGTGTGACCACTTTTTTTCGAGTGAATATGATCAAAAATGTAAACAAACAGACTTCTTTTTTTTTGTAAGACGTGAAATAGATGTTTTAACATAATATTCTTTACGATGCTTTTATTCCAAAATATAGAATAAAGCTATTTTATACAAGTACCAATGCAAATATCAAAGTAAATGTATACTTGGAATCTATATATCCTTTCATATACAGACACTTTACAAAATTTCTTTGAGCATTGAGAACGACATTTTTTAGTATAGATTTAATTTTATATGTCTGTGTTTTTTCGAGTACGGTCCAGGTTTTGATCGCGTGATTAAACAAAATTACAATGGCTTAAAATGTCATATGTCAGTGCGATTAGTTTAAAACACAATAAAAAGGTTCAAATAAAGTACTTTTCAAAGCACGAAACCAATGCATTTAACCAGTTTGATAATACTGTAGTACACGTAACACGTACATTCTTAAAAAGCATCGAATATTTGTATATATTATTGTTTGCCACATCTTATAAATTGTATAGACACCGGTATTGGCATATTTAGATAGATCAAACATGTCCAAGCCCATGTAAATATGGTGGAACTATCTAACAAGTCAACGCACAGGTACACATGTTGTATCGATCCAAACATACGTATATCGATGTCGATTTAACCAAATATGGACATCATACAGTAAATATTCGTGTTGTAAACAATATCAATGTGAGTACAAACATATATATATAAAGAAAAGGAGATGTGGTATGAATGCCAATGAGACAAATATCTACAAGAGTTCAAATGACGAAGATAAAAGTAGATATAGGTCACCGTGAACCAACGACAACCACTGAATTACAGGTTCTAGACTGTCATGGGACAGGCATATAAAGATTGTGGCGGGGTTAAACATGTTTGTAAGCCCTCAACCCTCACCTAACTTTGGACAGTGGTGTTACAGCACAAAAATAGAACAAACTGTAAAACTCAGTTACAAATGGCTTTACTAAATACATCTGCAAGAAACACAAACAAACCAACTTACATAAAAACAATAGATACAACGCATCGATATAAGAGTACTCGCGGTCACTGAAAGCTAGTTCAATGCCTGTTACAACAAATAAATAAATCATGTTTTTTTCCAGACTAAAGTATCAAGCAGTACAATGTTTGATTGAGACGTACCTACATTGCGTGTGTTCAGTGGGTATGTGTATTTTGTTAACAGAAAATACATCCTAAATATTTCATTTACTATTTGCCTTGATGATAATTTGTTTAAACGTTCTATGAATGGAAAACAAGAATAATTTTCAAATGCTACTACTGTGATGAGGAGTATGATCAAGCGAATTTTATACTTGGTCACACAGCAATAAAACACCACGAGAGCTTCCTTTCTATCCGTTAGCAGTGCTTTAAAAAATGAAAAATACGGATCTCTATCTAGCCATTAAAATTACCAATGTATATCTGCGGAACTCTGCGAAAGACATGAATTAAATACATGAGGTGTACGCTATTGTATTCACATTTTTCTTATTATTATTTCAAAAGGATTATATTAAACTTAATTAAATTTTGAACACCGGTATACTACTGTTGCCTTTATAGATTATTTAATTCATTGTTTATTATATATTTCATTCAATTCAAAATTTATTGTCAATCGGAAATAGTACAGGAGCGGATTAAGTGATTTGGAAAAGAGGGGGTGGCTTGGCAGGTCCCAGACCTCTCTTAGTAGAATATTTATGGTATATTGCATTTTACTGAATTTATAACTTCTGTCCCTTTGTTTTCTTATCCCTATTTTTAAAACTCCAGGTTTTGCCACTGTAATATGTAGTAGAGAATTGATAAGAAGTAGTGGATTCGTAAACGATAATCAACGAGCGACTTTAGTCGCAAGTTGATTATCGTTTCCGAATCCACTACTTCTTATCAATTCTCTAGCTTAACCCATTTCTAGTAAAACGACTGTCTGCTTTCAGTTTTGACAATGAATCAACGATATTTCATAAAAATAGTTTCGCATTTTGTCTTTTTTATTCTTTAATAGCTAGAAATGATTATGTCAACACGGTTCGCATCTATATTTAGATATTTGACAAGTTAACTTAAGTTTAAGATAACTTAAATGAGGTGTTAGCTCCCCTTTTTAAGACCAGATTTAATTTTTGTATATACATGTTTCATTTAATGTTTAATCATAACAAATTATTTAAATTGAATAGATTTTGGGATATTTAATTTATTCAAAAAGACATATATTAATATACAGTATTTATTTATCTTGTTTTGAAAAGTTAAAAATTTCAATTACCAAAATTTTAAACCTTCAAAATTTATATATATAATATTTAGCAACATGTTTGGTATGTTGAAGATTTAATACCGACAAGCCGTTCTTGGTCAAATGAATATTATTAGCGTAGATGCCTTAAATCTGCCATTTCATAATGCTCAAATTCATGTTGCTTTCCAAAAGTATTAAAATTATGTGCTTACGTTTTAAATTGAAGAATTATATATTTTTTTTATTTGTTTAAACTGTTTCTGTTTCATTAAGTTAAGATTATTTTAACGTTATTACATTTGGCATATATCGTTCACCGGTCAATAAACTAGTTTTATCTGTGGAACGCATTCTGAATCCCCATCAGAATTGCTCTTGCTACGGATGTACAATGAATAATTATGTTGATTTCACAAACTTGTCATCAAGCTGTTCATAGCCGTGATCGTCTAGTCGTTGGTAACGAATGTCATAACGTTGATATTAACAGTGCAAAGTTCGAATCTTGTATCCGGAATGAAATTTTTAATTGTAATTTTTTTCTGGACCAAAATATTGTTTTAATCCTAGAACATGTAGAAGTATTATATATTTCATTTTCATATAATGGCGATGATTTTGTTTCTGTTTTTACTGTCAACGAAGTAGTTTTAACCCATTTCTTTAAACAAAATAACACCCAAAATAAAACAAATTCAATAAACATGAAAAAACCAAGATATATATTTCATTAGATTACAAAAACGAATTATCAATTAGACAGAAATACAGTTGAATGAGAAACATTGACAATTAAGCGCTTTAAGTGTACTATTCACATAATGATTGATGTCAGCCATCGTGGTCTAGTGGTATCATGGATAGACTGAAGACTGTTGATTATGAAGAAAATACGCGCGGGTTCGAATCCTACACATGCCACTCGTTTTTAAGAGGATAAAAGATCGTAAGTTAAAAGTTTAAAGTTATAATATAAATTCTCTTAAGTTAATACTGTGGTCAGTGGATTCTTGAAAAATAATCTACAGTCAGAACAATAGACTGACGTCAGAGAAATGGGTTAAATATAAATCATAAACTATTATTTACTGCAAAAAAATATTGTAGCATGAAATGATATTGAAAAGATTATGAGTCACCTGTTCTCGGTTCGAAAGACAGTTTTACAAAGAATCAGTAATTTCTAATATATCTTAATATTGCAAGGTTATGGTTAATTGTTTTCAGAACAGAGAATAATCATTAAATTGAAAAGGGTTAAATTTGATGAACACTGTAATATGGTTTGTTACTTAATAGGAATATATAATATTGCCCTTCGCTAAATTACAATTACAAAATAGAAAAAGTTAGCTTTTAAGGCCAAGAATGCCTTCTTTCTTATTCACATTTTCTTTGAAAAACACGACCATTTTTTTAAAAACCACATGTTGCTCTCGAAAAAACAGGGACAATGTAAAATACTGAATTATTAGTGAACTACAAGGACATTGTGTGTCGTTTGTGCTCAAAACATGTTTACTATACAGAATAAGATGAATAGTCATGAATAAAACTATTATATACGCAAAATAGCAGTAAATTGATCTGACCGCATCTAATATCACTCGAAAAAACCTGATCTACACTCGAAAAAAGTAGAACGATTCACTCGAAAAAACGCGATCTCCGCCGAACACTATATCTACCGTGTAATTATTGTATTTGAGTCCTGAGTATACTACTATCAAGCAATAACGGATCGGTATCTAAAGCATCAATTATTCAGATAGTGTTGATATGGGCAAATACATTTGTTTTAAAACATTTTGAAGTTATTCCTTGACAAATAACGAATATATTAGTGTCAGATAAAAACATACTAATTTAAAGCTATAAAAATGCCATAGTTTAATGATTTCGTAAAAATCAATCAATCAGAAACCATTTGATATGAATGTATTATCAGAGGGTACCAGAATTGTCTACGTATTCACTAGCTTTAAACCATTGAATTACAGCAAGGCTACAAACATTACCATAAAATTTCCGATTCACTTTAAAATATGTTTCTATTACGCATTTCAACAGTAATCGATGTTCCGAATGAGAACATGTGCAAAAACACACAATAATATGTACCTACTAGTGTGTTCGACCGTTTTTAATGATACTCCAAAACTGTGACTTTCAGCACCACATTGTCAGATGATGCATGGATCCTTACCCTTTCAATGGTGTCAATATAAGAAAAATTAAACGAGAGTACAATTTTGAGCCTACAGCCTTAAATGTTATACCAGTTTGTGGTTTAAAATAGAAGAAATGACTACAAATTAGTCGAAAATATTCAAATCTGAACGAAATGGGTTTAGCGCTTATACCAAGCGGTACTTATAATTGACCGTCAGACAAAATGCACTCAAAAGGTTAAAACAATTAATTGAAATACCACTTAAGCAAAGATAATAGCTTTATGAGTTGTCAATTAAAATGTTTTAAAAGTTTAAAGAAATTGTATCACATTTTGAAAATTTGTTTCAAATATATTATTTTCTTATGCCGGATTTATTATATTTTTTTTATCAGAGAATATAACTCGAAAATTACAGACATAATTGTTATTTGCAAATGTACTGGCTTTATATTAAAAGATAACAAACTATGATTAAGTGTTGAGTAGAAACAGATTCTGTAAACCAACTTATTTTCGCATATACTTTATTTCGCGTTTCGCCCTTTCTAGCTTACTTGATGTAGTGATAATAAGGTAAGATCCAAGGATTACATCTTCGCGACGATTTATATTCGCGTTATTTTTCTAATCGCGAATGTCGGAAAAATAAATCGGTCGCGAAAATTAGTTGGTTTACAGTATACTAGCGTGCATTGAATACACATAATATTTGCTACGAAAACGACAAGTAGTTGTTTGTCTCTTTTGAATGGTTACGTAGAAAACAATTAACACATTAAAGTAATGATTAATTCAATATCAGTTGTTGATCCTAAAGTCGTGCAGAGTATAGGAAATTATAGAAATTATTGGCCAAATCTTAACGATAATTGATCAGCGTATTTAAAAGCAGGTGTGTTTAGAACAGTCAGAAATAATTAAACTTAAAGGTTCAGAAATTAAAAGGTAAAAAATTTGAGTGAATATAGCTGCAATTAAGTAATGGATTATAAAACCTTGAATTTTCGGAATACTAAGGATTTTCTACACAAGAAATAGATTACCTTAGCTGAATTTCATAAAACCTTTTGGAATTTGGGTCCTCAATACTCTTCAACTTCGTACATTATTTGGCTTTTTAACTTTTTTGATCCGAGCACCACTTTTTTGTTAACGAAACGCGGATCTGGCATACAATTTTTTTTATCCTGGTATCTATGATGAGTTTATTTACATGTGTTGATAGTCTTAATGGAAATCAAAATAAAATTAACTGCATGAACCTGAATAACAAACAACATGCCAAAGCAATAATTGTTTTAATCCAAGCTTTACAATCGGTATTGCCAATTGACCTTCAGCGAGATTTCAGAAAATTTATTGAAAAAAATCTGAAAATCACAATATGGTCAGTATATCCAAAGGCTCTGGCTATGTATTTAAAGATACCAGATTAAGATGAAAGTTTGGATGTGAAAGAAATATACAAGCCTGTATTTAAATAAAACGCCGTTTATCAAATTAAAACCACAAATAATTGTTAATCTTTATAGTAATATTTTTTAGTACATGATCTGATATTCGAGTACAGTCTTGGAAATCATTAAAATTCCTGACGAAATCTGAACAAAACATTCTAAAGCCAACAGGTTATGTTATGTAAAGATATCACAATAAGATAAAATGTAGGGCAGAATTAAATATAATAGCTTGCGTTTGAAAACATGGTATATTCAAATCGAACGACAAGTAACTGTATGTATTTTTATGAATGTAAAAGAAGAAAAACCAATAAAACAAAAAACTATTTATGAATTCAAAGTCGGTTGTTGATCTTACATGAAGAAAAGTATAGAGAATCTCCTAAAAATTATTTACCAGATTTAAACGATAATTGTTCATGTGTTTTTCGCTAACAGGAATTTCCAAACGACCGTCAGAAAATATAAAAAGTTTCAAACAAAAAATAGTAAAATATTCTAACAAACATAGCTATATCTAAGTATCTAAGATCATTTATTTTTTTTGATTTCAGATATATTGATGATGTTCTTTCCATAAACAATCCAAACTTTTCTGATTGGGTTCAATTAATATATTCTCCAGAACTAGACATTAAAGAAACAATAATAGACACGGCTTCCTCTGCCTCATTTTTAGACTTATACCTCGAATTTGACATAAGCAGTCATCTCAGTACCAGAACCAATAACAAACGAAATGATTAGAATTTTGAAATTATAAATTTCCACCACCTTAGCAGCAATATATAAACTTCACCTTCATATGGGATATACATTTCCCAAGTCATTCTGTATTCAAGAGCTTGCAGCTGCTACTCAGACTTCAGACTCAAACGTCACCAGTGTCTGAGCAGAAAGTTGATGAACCTTGGTTATGTCAAAAAACGTCTCGTCCTTTTTCTAAAGAGGTTCATCGAAAGGTACCAAGACCTTGATGACAAATATTCCGTATCAACTTCACAAATAATACACGAAGCATAGATTCTAGGTACTGATGTTTTTTTATCATCTTAATTACGTGTTATAATGTTCTTTATATTTGTCTTTGGATATTTTTAACCTTCACTATTTAATTCGTTTTTGGTAATATCCTTTTGGCGAGGTTTGGTTTGTATATATCCCTCCATTATGTTATTGTGCTATGGATATTTTTTGTATTCTTGTCTTTCATTTTTGCTTATGTGCTTTGTCTATAGACTGTCTATATGCCTTTCAGTTTTTCTTTGTTGACATAGTTGTTTGTTTTTGTAATGATTAAGTTTGTAACACAATGTTGACTGCTGTATCGCAAGTTTTGACATTTTAAACTATTATATATAAAAAAGAAGATGTGGTATGATTGCCAATGATACAAATTTCCACAAGAGACCAAATGACACAGAAATTAACAACTATATATTTATAGGTCACCGTACGGCTGTTTGTTTTGCTCACACGTTGTTGTCAATATAATGGAATTCTGTGCGACTGTCATACAAGTGAGAGCTTTATTAAGCTATACAACCAGGTTTAATACACCGTTTACTATATATGAAAATGCCTATTCCAAGTCAGGAATATTACAGTTGTTTTCCAGTCTTTTTATGTGTTTGAGATTTTGATTTTGCCATTTGATAAAGAACTTTCCGTTTTGACGTTTTTATGCATTTATATTGTACAGAGAATAAAATCAGCAAATCACAGCTTCGTTGGCTATGTTATTTAAAGATCACAATTTAAGATAAAATGTGTTTGAATTTCACTTAAAAAGAAAAAAAAAAATACATCAAAACGTAAAAGTAATAATTAATTCAACATCCGTTGTTGATATCAAATGTGATGGAAGTCTACGAACTGATCTTTTCTAATTAAAAATTGTTCAGCATTTCAAACAAACAAATGTATCTAAAAGACCGCCAGAAAAGTTGAAGTTTCAGACAATTTCAATAGACTTTTATTTGAGCAAATATAGCTGTCATGTACGTTATGGATAACATTTGTTGAAAATTATAATGAAAACAAAAATTTGTTTTGCCCTTTTCATTTATATTTAACGGACAAGAAAAGAAAACGGAACATCACAATTATGGTGTTTATCTCCAAACGCTTTCATTTCTCTGTTATAAAAGAAGCTTATTTCTAATAAAACTTTGAATATATAAGCCTGTATTAAAAAGCACCGTTCATGCAATTTAAACTACAAATAACCGTTAATCGTTTTAGTCTTGTTTTCTTAAAAAAGGGATTTTTAAGAACGTCTCAATTTGAACGGAAATTATTGAACGCTTTTGCCAAAAGTTTTGCTCGCACTGGATGCTATTAAAACTTGACATACAACTAATTGAAGAAATCATAATGTTTGGGGAAATATAGCTCTATTGTACCAATAAAATTTGTTGACAATCTTGATGACAATGAAAACAAAGTTAAGTGCATGAACAATACTAAACATTCTAAAACAATGTTTGACCAATGTTTTGAAACAAATCGTTTAAGATATTTTTTTTCTTATAATGTTTTTGTGCATTTATATTTTAGAGAGAATAAAAACAGCACATCACAGATGGGTCAGTATCCCAAATGCTCCTCAAATTGAGGAACGCGAAAGTAGTCCGTTAACCAAAAGTATATGTGCGGTGATATTAGACGTGTTTTAATTTTAACAAGTAACTGAGCTTAACCAATTGTGCTGATGTAGAGAACAGACGAAAATGCAATAAAGGTGTCAAAACTATGGAGTTATTTAATGTATGCAAAGAAGTACATTTTCAAAAGAACTTATTGTTTGAAAAAAAGGATCTTTTTTACCTCGATAAGCCGAATCACAAAAGGCATTTCGGGCAGTGCTAAATTATAAAAAAATGATTTTCACTTCGTACCCCGAAAATTTAACCACATATGTGCATATGTCTCAACTTCGAAACGAGCCATCATACATATTCAGGTTTATGATATTGGCAAAGAAATTGAAGTAAAGGTTACCTCTACCGCTTACCTAAAATGAATAGCTCATCTTTACCCAGCTGCGGTGAGTATCTCAAAATTTTATTGCTACATGTTAATGCACTGCAACAAATCATAGTGTATTATCTCAGTGAAAAAGGTGGAGGGTCAAACCTTTTAAAGAACGAAGTGCTTCAACTATTCAGCTATGAAGCTTCTACTGATTGCTCTTCATCAGAAAGGTTCAAATAAATATTGTGAAGCCTAAAGGTGGCAGCATTTCACTTTATGTAATAATACTTTCCAAGTCAGGAATATGACAGTTGTTGTCCATTCCTTTGATGTGTTTGTGCTTTTGATTTTGCCATTTGATTAGGGACTTTCCGTTTTGAATTTTCCTCGGAGTTCAGTATTTTTGTGATTTAACTTTTTTCCAGAATTTGATTTTTTTTCTCTCAATTATACAGTTTGTATTTAAATGAAATGATATAACAACCTGGTCAGTGTTTTGTCTTATTTCAGTTTCTGACGTATCATTCTAGGTTAACTTGAGACGGAGGATTAGAGATTTAAGAAAGTTCTGAATTTTCCTTAAAAATTAAAAACAATTACGTAAAAAAGTAAAGGTATTGATAAATTAACAACAGTTGCTGATTAAAAATTTTATTGAAGTCTTTGAAATTGTCGTATCTAATTGAAAACTTTGTTCAGCGTTTTTAACTAACAAGTGTATCTAAAAGACCGCCAAGAAATGATTAAACTAGAATTTTCAGACAATATCAATAGTCACTTATTTGAGAAAATATAGCTACTATGTAAGATATGGATACTATTTGTTGAAAAAACATAATGAAAATAAAGTTAACTGGATGTACATGAAAAACAAATAACATGCCAGAGCAAAGTTGAATTGTAGATGAGTTTTTGGTTTGATTAAATCTGAACGCAAATTGGTTTAGCGCTAATATCAACCGGTATTTCCAATTGACCATCCGCAACAATGTTTACAAGAAGTTACAAGCCATTTATTGTTAAACTATATGAACACAAATAACGGTATTGTGAGTTGTGGATTAACATGTTTGTAAAGGCTGAAGACAATCGTGTCACATATTGAAAATACCTTTGATATATTGCGTTTTCTTTTGCCGTTTTCTTCAATTAATATTTAACACAAAAGAGAAAGAAACAAAAACGGAAGATTACAATTATGGTATTTATCTCCAAACACATTGTCTGTGTTATTCAAAGAAACTTAATTCAGATAAAACTTTGGATACAATAAAACCCAATACTTTGTATCAAAAAAAACGTTCACGGAATTTAAACTACAAATCATTGGAAATCTTTTTAGTCTTGTTTTAAAAGAAAAAAAGGTTTGTTGAATACGTCTCGAAAATCGTCAACCTTATCAATTTGAACGGAAATTATTATACGCTTTTGCCAAAAGTTTTGTTCGCACTGGATGCCAGAAACTATTAAAAGTTGACATACAACTAATTGAAGAAATTATAATGTTTTGGGAAATATAGTTATATCGTACCAATTACATTTGTTGAAAATCTTGATAAAAATGAAAACAAAGTTAACTGCATGAACAACACTTAAAGATTCTAAAACAATGTTTGACCTACGTTTTAAAAAAATCGTTTCAGATATTTTTTTTCTTATAATGTTTTTATGAATTTATATTTTAGACAGAATAAAAACAGCACAAGACAGCTGGGTCAATATCCCTAATGCGCCTCAAATTGAGGAACTCGAAAGTAGTCCGTTAACAAAAAGTATATGTGCGGTGATATTAGACGTGTTTTAATTTTAACAAGTAACTGAGCTTAACCAATTGTGCTGATGTAGAGAACAGACGAAAATGCAATAAAGGTGTCAAAACTATGGAGTTATTTAATATGTGCAAAGAAGTACATTTTCAAAAGAACTTATTGTTTGAAAAAAAGGATCTTTTTTACCTCGATAAGCCGAATCACAAAAGGCATTTCGGGCAGTGCTAAATTATAAAAAAATGATTTTCACTTCGTACCCCGAAAATTTAACCACATATGTGCATATGTCTCAATTTCAAAACGAGCCATCATACATATTCAAGTTTATGATATTGGCAAAGAAATTGAAGTAAAGGTTACCTCTACCGCTTACCTAAAATGAATAGCTCATCTTTACACAGCTGCGGTGAGTATCTCAAAATTTTATTGCTACATGTTAATGCACTGCAACAAATCATAGTGTATTATCTCAGTGAAAAAGGTGGAGGGTCAAACCTTTTAAAGAACGAAGTGCTTCAACTATTCAGCTATGAAGCTTCTACTGATTGCTCCTCATCAGAAAGGTTCAAATAAATATTGTGAAGCGTAAAGGTGGCAGCATTTCTCTTTATGTAATAATACTTTCCAGGTCAGGAATATGACAGTTGTTGTCCATTCGTTTGATGTGTTTGTGCTTTTGATTTTGCCATTTGATTTGGGACTTTCCGTTTTGAATTTTCTTCGGAGTTCAGTATTTTTGTGATTTAACTTTTTTCCAGAATTTGATTTTTTTTCTCTCAATTATACAGTTTGTATTTCAATGAAATGATATTACAACCTGGTCAGTGTTTTGTCTTATTTCAGTTTCTGACGTATCATTCTAGTTTAACTTGAGACGTAAGATTAGAGGTTTAAGAAAGTTCTGAGTTTTCCTTAAAAATTAAAAACAAATACGTAAAAAAGTAAAGGTATTGATAAATTCAACAACAGTTGTTGATTAAAAATTTTATTGAAGTCTTTGAAATTGTCGTATCTAATTGAAAACTTTGTTCAGCGTTTTTAACTAACAAGTGTATCTAAAAGACCGCAATGAAATGATTAAACTAGAATTTTCAGACAATATCAATAGTCACTTATTTGAGCAAATATAGCTACTATGTAAGATATGGATACCATTTGTTGAAAAAACATAATGAAAATAAAGTTAACTGGATGTACATGAAAAACAAATAACATGCCAGAGCAAAGTTGAATTGTAGATGAGTTTTTGGTTTGAAATATGCGGACTGTCTATGAAATTGTCGAAATATTGATCAAATCTGAACGCAAATTGGTTTAGCGCTAATATCAACCGGTATTTCCAATTGACCATCCGCAACAATGTTGACAAGAAGTTATAAGCCATTTATTGTTAAACTATATGAACACAAATAACGGTATTGTGAGTTGTGGATTTACATGTTTGTAAAGGCTGAAGACAATCGTGTCACATATTGAAAATACCTTTGATATATTGCATTTTCTTTTGCCGTTTTCTTCAATTAATATTTAAAACAAAAGAGAAAGTAACAAAAACGGAAGATTACAATTATGGTATTTATCTCCAAACACATTGTCTGTGTTATTCAAAGAAACTTAATTCAGATAAAACTTTGGATACAATAAAACCCAATACTTTGTATAAAAAAAACGTTCACGGAATTTAAACTACAAATCATTGGAAATCTTTTTAGTCTTGTTTTAAAAGAAAAAAAGGTTTGTTGAATACGTCTCGAAAATCGTCAACCTTATCAATTTGAACGGAAATTATTATACGCTTTTGCCAAAAGTTTTGTTCGCACTGGATGCCAGAAACTATTAAAACTTGACATAAAACTAATTGAAGAAATTATAATGTGTGGGGAAATATAGTTCTATCGTACCAATTACATTTGTTGAAAATCTTGATGAAAATGAAAACAAAGTTAACTGCATGAACAACACTTAAAGATTCTAAAACAATGTTGACCTACTTTTTAAAAAAATCGTTTCAGATATTTTTTTTTGATAATGTTTTAATGCATTTATATTTTAGACAGAATAAAAACAGCACAAGACAGCTGGGTCAATATCCCTATTGCGCATCAAATTGAGGAACTCGAAAGTATTCCGTTAACAAAAAGTATATGTGCGGTGATATTAGACGTGTTTTAATTTTAACAAGTAACTGAGCTTAACCAATTGTGCTGATGTAGAGAACAGACGAAAATGCAATAAAGGTGTCAAAACTATGGAGTTATTTAATGTATGCAAAGAAGTACACTTTCAAAAGAACTTATTGTTTGAAAAAAAAGGATCTTTTTTACCTCGATAAGCCGAATCACAAAAGGCATTTCGGGCAGTGCTAAATTTTAAAAAATGATTTTCACTTCGTAACCCGAAAATTTAACCACATATGTGCATATGTCTCAACTTCGAAACGAGCCATCATATATATTCAAGTTTATGATATTGGCAAAGAAATTGAAGCAAAGGTTACCTCTACCGCTTACCTAAAATGAATTGCTCATCTTTACCCAGCTGCGGTGAGTATCTCAAAATTTTATTGCTACATGTTAATGCACTGCAACAAATCATAGTGTATTATCTCAGTGAAAAAGGTGGAGGGTCAAACCTTTTAAAGAACGAAGTGCTTCAACTATTCAGCTATGAAGCTTCTACTGATTGCTCCTCATCAGAAAGGTTCAAATAAATATTGTGAAGCCTAAAGGTGGCAGCATTTCTCTTTATGTAATAATACTTTCCAGGTCAGGAATATGACAGTTGTTGTCCATTCGTTTGATGTGTTTGTGCTTTTGATTTTGCCATTTGATTTGGGACTTTCCGTTTTGAATTTTCTTCGGAGTTCAGTATTTTTGTGATTTAACTTTTTTCCAGAATTTGATTTTTTTTCTCTCAATTATACAGTTTGTATTTCAATGAAATGATATTACAACCTGGTCAGTGTTTTGTCTTATTTCAGTTTCTGACGTATCATTCTAGTTTAACTTGAGACGGAAGATTAGAGGTTTAAGAAAGTTCTGAGTTTTCCTTAAAAATTAAAAACAAATACGTAAAAAAGTAAAGGTATTGATAAATTCAACAACAGTTGTTGATTAAAAATTTTATTGAAGTCTTTGAAATTGTCGTATCTAATTGAAAACTTTGTTCAGCGTTTTTAACTAACAAGTGTATCTAAAAGACCGCAATGAAATGATTAAACTAGAATTTTCAGACAATATCAATAGTCACTTATTTGAGCAAATATAGCTACTATGTAAGATATGGATACCATTTGTTGAAAAAACATAATGAAAATAAAGTTAACTGGATGTACATGAAAAACAAATAACATGCCAGAGCAAAGTTGAATTGTAGATGAGTTTTTGGTTTGAAATATGAGGACTGTCTATGAAATTGTCGAAATATTGATCAAATCTGAACGCAAATTGGTTTAAGCGCTAATATCAACCGGTATTTCCAATTGACCATCCGCAACAATGTTGACAAGAAGTTATAAGCCATTTATTGTTAAACTATATGAACACAAATAGCGGTATTGTGAGTTGTGGATTTACATGTTTGTAAAGGCTGAAGACAATCGTGTCACATATTGAAAATACCTTTGATATATTGCGTTTTCTTTTGCCGTTTTCTTCAATTAATATTTAAAACAAAAGAGAAAGTAACAAAAACGGAAGATTACAATTATGGTATTTATCTCCAAACACATTGTCTGTGTTATTCAAAGAAACTTAATTCAGATAAAACTTTGGATACAATAAAACCCAATACTTTGTATCAAAAAAAACGTTCACGGAATTTAAACTACAAATCATTGGAAATCTTTTTAGTCTTGTTTTAAAAGAAAAAAAGGTTTGTTGAATACGTCTCGAAAATCGTCAACCTTATCAATTTGAACGGAAATTATTATACGCTTTTGCCAAAAGTTTTGTTCGCACTGGATGCCAGAAACTATTAAAACTTGACATAAAACTAATTGAAGAAATTATAATGTGTGGGGAAATATAGTTCTATCGTACCAATTACATTTGTTGAAAATCTTGATGAAAATGAAAACAAAGTTAACTGCATGAACAACACTTAAAGATTCTAAAACAATGTTGACCTACTTTTTAAAAAAATCGTTTCAGATATTTTTTTTTGATAATGTTTTTATGCATTTATATTTTAGACAGAATAAAAACAGCACAAGACAGCTGGGTCAATATCCCTATTGCGCATCAAATTGAGGAACTCGAAAGTATTCCGTTAACAAAAAGTATATGTGCGGTGATATTAGACGTGTTTTAATTTTAACAAGTAACTGAGCTTAACCAATTGTGCTGATGTAGAGAACAGACGAAAATGCAATAAAGGTGTCAAAACTATGGAGTTATTTAATGTATGCAAAGAAGTACACTTTCAAAAGAACTTATTGTTTGAAAAAAAAGGATCTTTTTTACCTCGATAAGCCGAATCACAAAAGGCATTTCGGGCAGTGCTAAATTATAAAAAAATGATTTTCACTTCGTACCCCGAAAATTTAACCACATATGTGCATATGTCTCAACTTCGAAACGAGCCATCATACATATTCAGGTTGATGATATTGGCAAAGAAATTGAAGTAAAGGTTACCTCTACCGCTTACCTAAAATGAATAGCTCATCTTTACCCAGCTGCGGTGAGTATCTCAAAATTTTATTGCTACATGTTAATGCACTGCAACAAATCATAGTGTATTATCTCAGTGAAAAAGGTGGAGGGTCAAACCTTTTAAAGAACGAAGTGCTTCAACTATTCAGCTATGAAGCTTCTACTGATTGCTCTTCATCAGAAAGGTTCAAATAAATATTGTGAAGCCTAAAGATGGCAGCATTTCACTTTATGTAATAATACTTTCCAAGTCAGGAATATGACAGTTGTTGTCCATTCCTTTGATGTGTTTGTGCTTTTGATTTTGCCATTTGATTAGGGACTTTCCGTTTTGAATTTTCCTCGGAGTTCAGTATTTTTGTGATTTAACTTTTTTCCAGAATTTGATTTTTTTTCTCTCAATTATACAGTTTGTATTTAAATGAAATGATATAACAACCTGGTCAGTGTTTTGTCTTATTTCAGTTTCTGACGTATCATTCTAGGTTAACTTGAGACGGAGGATTAGAGGTTTAAGAAAGTTCTGAATTTTCCTTAAAAATTAAAAACAATTACGTACAAAAGTAAAGGTATTGATAAATTAACAACAGTTGCTGATTAAAAATTTTATTGAAGTCTTTGAAATTGTCGTATCTAATTGAAAACTTTGTTCAGCGTTTTTAACTAACAAGTGTATCTAAAAGACCGCCAAGAAATGATTAAACTAAAATTTTCAGACAATATCAATAGTCACTTATTTGAGCAAATATAGCTACTATGTAAGATATGGATACTATTTGTTGAAAAAACATAATGAAAATAAAGTTAACTGGATGTACATGAAAAACAAATAACATGCCAGAGCAAAGTTGAATTGTAGATGAGTTTTTGGTTTGAAATATGAGGACTGTCTATGAAATTGTTGAAATATTGATTAAATCTGAACGCAAATTGGTTTAGCGCTAATATCAACCGGTACTTCCAATTGACCATCGGAAACAATGTTTACAAGAAGTTACAAGCCATTTATTGTTAAACTATATGAACACAAATAACGGTATTGTGAGTTGTGGATTAACATGTTTGTAAAGGCTGAAGACAATCGTGTCACATATTGAAAATACCTTTGATATATTGCGTTTTCTTTTGCAGTTTTCTTCAATTAATATTTAACACAAAAGAGAAAGAAACAAAAACGGAAGATTACAATTATGGTATTTATCTCCAAACACATTGTCTGTGTTATTCAAAGAAACTTAATTCAGATAAAACTTTGGATACAATAAAACCCAATACTTTGTATAAAAAAGAAACGTTCACGGAATTTAAACTACAAATTATTGGAAATCTTTTTAGTCTTGTTTTAAAAGAAAAAAAGGTTGGTTGAATACGTCTCGAAAATCGTCAACCTTATCAATTTGAACGGAAATTATTATACGCTTTTGCCAAAAGTTTTGTTCGCACTGGATGCCAGAAACTATTAAAACTTGACATACAACTAATTGAAGAAATTATAATGTTTTGGGAAATATAGTTATATCGTACCAATTACATTTGTTGAAAATCTTGATAAAAATGAAAACAAAGTTAACTGCATGAACAACACTTAAAGATTCTAAAACAATGTTTGACCTACGTTTTAAAAAAATCGTTTCAGATATTTTTTTCTTATAATGTTTTTATGCATTTATATTTTAGACAGAATAAAAACAGCACAAGACAGCTGGGTCAATATCCCTAATGCGCCTCAAATTGAGGAACTCGAAAGTAGTCCGTTAACAAAAAGTATATGTGCGGTGATATTAGACGTGTTTTAATTTTAACAAGTAACTGAGCTTAACCAATTGTGCTGATGTAGAGAACAGACGAAAATGCAATAAAGGTGTCAAAACTATGGAGTTATTTAATGTATGCAAAGAAGTACATTTTCAAAAGAACTTATTGTTTGAAAAAAAGGATCTTTTTTACCTCGATAAGCCGAATCACAAAAGGCATTTCGGGCAGTGCTAAATTATAAATCAATGATTTTCACTTCGTACCCCGAAAATTTAACCACATATGTGCATATGTCTCAATTTCGAAACGAGCCATCATACATATTCAAGATTATGATATTGGCAAAGAAATTGAAGTAAAGGTTACCTCTACCGCTTACCTAAAATGAATTGCTCATCTTTACACAGCTGCGGTGAGTATCTCAAAATTTTATTGCTACATGTTAATGCACTGCAACAAATCATAGTGTATTATCTCAGTGAAAAAGGTGGAGGGTCAAACCTTTTAAAGAACGAAGTGCTTCAACTATTCAGCTATGAAGCTTCTACTGATTGCTCCTCGTGAGAAAGGTTCAAATAAATATTGTGAAGCCTAAAGGTGGCAGCATTTCTCTTTATGTAATAATACTTTCCAAGTCAGGAATATGACAGTTGTTGTCCATTCGTTTGATGTGTTTGTGCTTTTGATTTTGCCATTTGATTTGGGACTTTCCGTTTTGAATTTTCCTCGGAGTTCAGTATTTTTGTGATTTAACTTTTTTCCAGAATTTGATTTTTTTTCTCTCAATTATACAGTTTGTATTTAAATGAAATGATATAACAACCTGGTCAATGTTTTGTCTTATTTCAGTTTCTGACGTATCATTCTAGTTTAACTTGAGACGGAAGATTAGAGGTTTAAGAAAGTTCTGAATTTTCCTTAAGAGATAAAAACACATACGTAAAAAAGTAAAGGTATTGATAAATTCAACAACAGTTGCTGATTAAAAGTTTTATTGAATTCTTTGAAATTGTCGTATCTAATTGAAAACTTTGTTCAGCGTTTTTAACTAACAAGTGTATCTAAAAGACCGCCAGGAAATGATTAAACTAGAATTTTCAGACAATATCAATAGTCACTTATTTGAGCAAATATAGCTACTATGTATGATACTGATACTATTTGTTGAAAAAACATAATGAAAATAAAGTTAACAGGATGTACATGAAAAACAAATAACATGCCAGAGCAAAGTTGAATTGTAGATGAGTTTTTAGTTTGAAATATGAGGACTGTCTATGAAATTGTCGAAATATTGATCAAATCTGAACGCAAATTGGTTTAGCGCTAATATCAACCGGTACTTCCAATTGACCATCGGAAACAATGTTTACAAGAAGTTACAAGCCATTTATTGTTAAACTATATGAACACAAATAACGGTATTGTGAGTTGTGGATTAACATGTTTGTAAAGGCTGAAGACAATCGTGTCACATATTGAAAATACCTTTGATATATTGCGTTTTCTTTTGCCGTTTTCTTCAATTAATATTTAACACAAAAGATAAAGAAACAAAAACGGAAGATTACAATTATGGTATTTATCTCCAAACACATTGTCTGTGTTATTCAAAGAAACTTAATTCAGATAAAACTTTGGATACAATAAAACCAAATACTCTGTAAAAAAAAAAACGTTCACGCAATTTAAACTACAAATCATTGGAAATCTTTTTAGTCTTGTTTTAAAAGAAAAAAGGTTTGTTGAATACGTCTCGAAAATCGTCAACCTTATCAATTTGAACGGAAATTATTATACGCTTTTGCCAAAAGTTTTGTTCGCACTGGATGCCAGAAACTATTAAAACTTGACATACAACTAATTGAAGAAATTATAATGTTTTGGGAAATATAGTTCTATCGTACCAATTACATTTGTTGAAAATCTTGATGAAAATGAAAACAAAGTTAACTGCATGAACAACACTTAAAGATTCTAAAACAATGTTTGACCTACGTTTTAAAAAAATCGTTTCAGATATTTTTTTTCTTATAATGTTTTTATGCATTTATATTTTAGACAGAATAAAAACAGCATAAGACAGCTGGGTCAATATCCCTAATGCGCCTCAAATTGAGGAACTCGAAATTAGTCCGTTAACAAAAAGTATATGTGCGGTGATATTAGACGTGTTTTAATTTTAACAAGTAACTGAGCTTAACCAATTGTGCTGATGTAGAGAACAGACGAAAATGCAATAAAGGTGTCAAAACTATGGAGTTATTTAATGTATGCAAAGAAGTACATTTTCAAAAGAACTTATTGTATGAAAAAAAGGATCTTTTTTACCTCGATAAGCCGAATCACAAAAGGCATTTCGGGCAGTGCTAAATTATAAAAAAATGATTTTCACTTCGTACCCCGAAAATTTAACCACATATGTGCATATGTCTCAATTTCGAAACGAGCCATCATACATATTCAAGATTATGATATTGGCAAAGAAATTGAAGTAAAGGTTACCTCTACCGCCTACCTAAAATGAATAGCCCATCTTTACCCAGCTGCGGTGAGTATCTCAAAATTTTATTGCTACATGTTAATGCACTGCAACAAATCATAGTGTATTATCTCAGTGAAAAAGGTGGAGGGTCAAACCTTTTAAAGAACGAAGTGCTTCAACTATTCAGCTATGAAGCTTCTACTGATTGCTCCTCGTGAGAAAGGTTCAAATAAATATTGTGAAGCCTAAAGGTGGCAGCATTTCTCTTTATGTAATAATACTTTCCAAGTCAGGAATATGACAGTTGTTGTCCATTCGTTTGATGTGTTTGTGCTTTTGATTTTGCCATTTGATTTGGGACTTTCCGTTTTGAATTTTCCTCGGAGTTCAGTATTTTTGTGATTTAACTTTTTTCCAGAATTTGATTTTTTTTCTCTCAATTATACAGTTTGTATTTAAATGAAATGATATAACAACCTGGTCAATGTTTTGTCTTATTTCAGTTTCTGACGTATCATTCTAGTTTAACTTGAGACGGAAGATTAGAGGTTTAAGAAAGTTCTGAATTTTCCTTAAGAGATAAAAACACATACGTAAAAAAGTAAAGGTATTGATAAATTCAACAACAGTTGCTGATTAAAAGTTTTATTGAATTCTTTGAAATTGTCGTATCTAATTGAAAACTTTGTTCAGCGTTTTTAACTAACAAGTGTATCTAAAAGACCGCCAGGAAATGATTAAACTAGAATTTTCAGACAATATCAATAGTCACTTATTTGAGCAAATATAGCTACTATGTATGATACTGATACTATTTGTTGAAAAAACATAATGAAAATAAAGTTAACAGGATGTACATGAAAAACAAATAACATGCCAGAGCAAAGTTGAATTGTAGATGAGTTTTTAGTTTGAAATATGAGGACTGTCTATGAAATTGTCGAAATATTGATCAAATCTGAACGCAAATTGGTTTAGCGCTAATATCAACCGGTACTTCCAATTGACCATCGGAAACAATGTTTACAAGAAGTTACAAGCCATTTATTGTTAAACTATATGAACACAAATAACGGTATTGTGAGTTGTGGATTAACATGTTTGTAAAGGCTGAAGACAATCGTGTCACATATTGAAAATACCTTTGATATATTGCGTTTTCTTTTGCCGTTTTCTTCAATTAATATTTAACACAAAAGATAAAGAAACAAAAACGGAAGATTACAATTATGGTATTTATCTCCAAACACATTGTCTGTGTTATTCAAAGAAACTTAATTCAGATAAAACTTTGGATACAATAAAACCAAATACTCTGTAAAAAAAAAAAACGTTCACGCAATTTAAACTACAAATCATTGGAAATCTTTTTAGTCTTGTTTTAAAAGAAAAAAGGTTTGTTGAATACGTCTCGAAAATCGTCAACCTTATCAATTTGAACGGAAATTATTATACGCTTTTGCCAAAAGTTTTGTTCGCACTGGATGCCAGAAACTATTAAAACTTGACATACAACTAATTGAAGAAATTATAATGTTTTGGGAAATATAGTTCTATCGTACCAATTACATTTGTTGAAAATCTTGATGAAAATGAAAACAAAGTTAACTGCATGAACAACACTTAAAGATTCTAAAACAATGTTTGACCTACGTTTTAAAAAAATCGTTTCAGATATTTTTTTTCTTATAATGTTTTTATGCATTTATATTTTAGACAGAATAAAAACAGCATAAGACAGCTGGGTCAATATCCCTAATGCGCCTCAAATTGAGGAACTCGAAATTAGTCCGTTAACAAAAAGTATATGTGCGGTGATATTAGACGTGTTTTAATTTTAACAAGTAACTGAGCTTAACCAATTGTGCTGATGTAGAGAACAGACGAAAATGCAATAAAGGTGTCAAAACTATGGAGTTATTTAATGTATGCAAAGAAGTACATTTTCAAAAGAACTTATTGTATGAAAAAAAGGATCTTTTTTACCTCGTTAAGCCGAATCACAAAAGGCATTTCGGGCAGTGCTAAATTATAAAAAAATGATTTTCACTTCGTACCCCGAAAATTTAACCACATATGTGCATATGTCTCAACTTCGAAACGAGCCATCATACATATTCAGGTTTATGATATTGGCAAAGAAATTGAAGTAAAGGTTACCTCTACCGCCTACCTAAAATGAATAGCCCATCTTTACCCAGCTGCGGTGAGTATCTCAAAATTTTATTGCTACATGTTAATGCACTGCAACAAATCATAGTGTATTATCTCAGTGAAAAAGGTGGAGGGTCAAACCTTTTAAAGAACGAAGTGCTTCAACTATTCAGCTATGAAGCTTCTACTGATTGCTCTTCATCAGAAAGGTTCAAATAAATATTGTGAAGCCTAAAGGTGGCAGCATTTCACTTTATGTAATAATACTTTCCAAGTCAGGAATATGACAGTTGTTGTCCATTCCTTTGATGTGTTTGTGCTTTTGATTTTGCCATTTGATTAGGGACTTTCCGTTTTGAATTTTCCTCGGAGTTCAGTATTTTTGTGATTTAACTTTTTTCCAGAATTTGATTTTTTTTCTCTCAATTATACAGTTTGTATTTAAATGAAATGATATAACAACCTGGTCAGTGTTTTGTCTTATTTCAGTTTCTGACGTATCATTCTAGGTTAACTTGAGACGGAGGATTAGAGATTTAAGAAAGTTCTGAATTTTCCTTAAAAATTAAAAACAATTACGTAAAAAAGTAAAGGTATTGATAAATTAACAACAGTTGCTGATTAAAAATTTTATTGAAGTCTTTGAAATTGTCGTATCTAATTGAAAACTTTGTTCAGCGTTTTTAACTAACAAGTGTATCTAAAAGACCGCCAAGAAATGATTAAACTAGAATTTTCAGACAATATCAATAGTCACTTACTTGAGAAAATATAGCTACTATGTAAGATATGGATACTATTTGTTGAAAAAACATAATGAAAATAAAGTTAACTGGATGTACATGAAAAACAAATAACATGCCAGAGCAAAGTTGAATTGTAGATGAGTTTTTGGTTTGAAATATGAGGACTGTCTATGAAATTGTTGAAATATTGATTAAATCTGAACGCAAATTGGTTTAGCGCTAATATCAACCGGTACTTCCAATTGACCATCGGAAACAATGTTTACAAGAAGTTACAAGCCATTTATTGTTAAACTATATGAACACAAATAACGGTATTGTGAGTTGTGGATTAACATGTTTGTAAAGGCTGAAGACAATCGTGTCACATATTGAAAATACCTTTGATATATTGCGTTTTCTTTTGCCGTTTTCTTCAATTAATATTTAGCACAAAAGAGAAAGAAACAAAAACGGAAGATTACAATTATGGTATTTATCTCCAAACACATTGTCTGTGTTATTCAAAGAAACTTAATTCAGATAAAACTTTGGATACAATAAAACCCAATACTTTGTATAAAAAAAAACGTTCACGCAATTTAAACTACAAATTATTGGAAATCTTTTTAGTCTTGTTTTAAAAGAAAAAAAGGTTTGTTGAATACGTCTCGAAAATCGTCAACCTTATCAATTTGAACGGAAATTATTATACGCTTTTGCCAAAAGTTTTGTTCGCACTGGATGCCAGAAACTATTAAAACTTGACATACAACTAATTGAAGAAATTATAATGTTTTGGGAAATATAGTTATATCGTACCAATTACATTTGTTGAAAATCTTGATAAAAATGAAAACAAAGTTAACTGCATGAACAACACTTAAAGATTCTAAAACAATGTTTGACCTACGTTTTAAAAAAATCGTTTCAGATATTTTTTTTCTTATAATGTTTTTATGAATTTATATTTTAGACAGAATAAAAACAGCACAAGACAGCTGGGTCAATATCCCTAATGCGCCTCAAATTGATGAACTCGAAAGTTGTCCGTTAACAAAAAGTATATGTGCGGTGATATTAGACGTGTTTTAATTTTAACAAGTAACTGAGCTTAACCAATTGTGCTGATGTAGAGAACAGACGAAAATGCAATAAAGGTGTCAAAACTATGGAGTTATTTAATATGTGCAAAGAAGTACATTTTCAAAAGAACTTATTGTTTGAAAAAAAGGATCTTTTTTACCTCGATAAGCCGAATCACAAAAGGCATTTCGGGCAGTGCTAAATTATAAAAAAATGATTTTCACTTCGTACCCCGAAAATTTAACCACATATGTGCATATGTCTCAATTTCGAAACGAGCCATCATACATATTCAAGTTTATGATATTGGCAAAGAAATTGAAGTAAAGGTTACCTCTACCGCTTACCTAAAATGAATTGCTCATCTTTACACAGCTGCGGTGAGTATCTCAAAATTTTATTGCTACATGTTAATGCACTGCAACAAATCATAGTGTATTATCTCAGTGAAAAAGGTGGAGGGTCAAACCTTTTAAAGAACGAAGTGCTTCAACTATTCAGCTATGAAGCTTCTACTGATTGCTCCTCATCAGAAAGGTTCAAATAAATATTGTGAAGCGTAAAGGTGGCAGCATTTCTCTTTATGTAATAATACTTTCCAGGTCAGGAATATGACAGTTGTTGTCCATTCGTTTGATGTGTTTGTGCTTTTGATTTTGCCATTTGATTTGGGACTTTCCGTTTTGAATTTTCCTCGGAGTTCAGTATTTTTGTGATTTAACTTTTTTCCAGAATTTGATTTTTTTTCTCTCAATTATACAGTTTGTATTTCAATGAAATGATATTACAACCTGGTCAGTGTTTTGTCATATTTCAGTTTCTGACGTATCATTCTAGTTTAACTTGAGACGGAAGATTAGAGGTTTAAGAAAGTTCTGAGTTTTCCTTAAAAATTAAAAACAAATACGTAAAAAAGTAAAGGTATTGATAAATTCAACAACAGTTGTTGATTAAAAATTTTATTGAAGTCTTTGAAATTGTCGTATCTAATTGAAAACTTTGTTCAGCGTTTTTAACTAACAAGTGTATCTAAAAGACCGCCAGGAAATGATTAAACTAGAATTTTCAAACAATATCAATAGTCACTTATTTGAGCAAATATAGCTACTATGTAAGATATGGATACTATTTGTTGAAAAAACATAATGAAAATAAAGTTAACTGGATGTACATGAAAAACAAATAACATGCCAGAGCAAAGTTGAATTGTAGATGAGTTTTTAGTTTGAAATATGAGGACTGTCTATGAAATTGTCGAAATATTGATCAAATCTGAACGTAAATTGGTTTAGCGCTAATATCAACCGGTACTTCCAATTGACCATCGGAAACAATGTTTACAAGAAGTTACAAGCCATTTATTGTTAAACTATATGAACACAAATAACGGTATTGTGAGTTGTGGATTAACATGTTTGTAAAGGCTGAAGACAATCGTTTCACATATTGAAAATACCTTTGATATATTGCGTTTTCTTTCGCCGTTTTCTTCAATTAATATTTAACACAAAAGATGAAGAAACAAAAACGGAAGATTACAATTATGGTATTTATCTCCAAACACATTGTCTGTGTTATTCAAAGAAACTTAATTCAGATAAAACTTTGGATACAATAAAACCCAATACTCTGTAAAAAAAAAAACGTTCACGCAATTTAAACTACAAATCATTGGAAATCTTTTTAGTCTTGTTTTAAAAGAAAAAAAGGTTTGTTGAATACGTCTCGAAAATCGTCAACCTTATCAAATTGAACGGAAATTATTATACGCTTTTGCCAAAAGTTTTGTTCGCACTGGAATCCAGAAACTATTAAAACTTGACATACAACTTATTGAAGAAATTATAATGTTTTGGGAAATATAGTCCTATCGTACCAATTACATTTGTTGAAAATCTTGATGAAAATGAAAACAAAGTTAACTGCATGAACAACACTTAAAGATTCTAAAACAATGTTTGACCTACGTTTTAAAAAAATCGTTTCGAATATTTTTTTTCTTATAATGTTTTTATGCATTTATATTTTAGACAGAATAAAAACAGCACAGACAGCTGGGTCAATATCCCTAATGCGCCTCAAATTGAGAAACTCGAAAGTAGTCCGTTAACAAAAAGTATATGTGCGGTGATATTAGACGTGTTTTAATTTAACAAGTAACTGAGCTTAACCAATTGTGCTGATGTAGAGAACAGACGAAAATGCAATAAAGGTGTCAAAACTATGGAGTTATTTAATGTATGCAAAGAAGTACATTTTCAAAAGAACTTATTGTTTGAAAAAAAAGGATCTTTTTTACCTCGATAAGCCGAATCACAAAAGGCATTTCGGGCAGTGCTAAATTATAAAAAAATGATTTTCACTTCGTACCCCGAAAATTTAACCACATATGTGCATATGTCTCAACTTCGAAACGAGCCATCATACATATTCAGGTTTATGATATTGGCAAAGAAATTGAAGTAAAGGTTACCTCTACCGCTTACCTAAAATGAATAGCTCATCTTTACCCAGCTGCGGTGAGTATCTCAAAATTTTATTGCTACATGTTAATGCACTGCAACAAATCATAGTGTATTATCTCAGTGAAAAAGGTGGAGGGTCAAACCTTTTAAAGAACGAAGTGCTTCAACTATTCAGCTATGAAGCTTCTACTGATTGCTCCTCATCAGAAAGGTTCAAATAAATATTGTGAAGCCTAAAGATGGCAGCATTTCACTTTATGTAATAATACTTTCCAAGTCAGGAATATGACAGTTGTTGTCCATTCCTTTGATGTGTTTGTGCTTTTGATTTTGCCATTTGATTAGGGACTTTCCGTTTTGAATTTTCCTCGGAGTTCAGTATTTTTGTGATTTAACTTTTTTCCAGAATTTGATTTTTTTCTCTCAATTATACAGTTTGTATTTAAATGAAATGATATAACAACCTGGTCAGTGTTTTGTCTTATTTCAGTTTCTGACGTATCATTCTAGGTTAACTTGAGACGGAGGATTAGAGGTTTAAGAAAGTTCTGAATTTTCCTTAAAAATTAAAAACAATTACGTACAAAAGTAAAGGTATTGATAAATTAACAACAGTTGCTGATTAAAAATTTTATTGAAGTCTTTGAAATTGTCGTATCTAATTGAAAACTTTGTTCAGCGTTTTTAACTAACAAGTGTATCTAAAAGACCGCCAAGAAATGATTAAACTAGAATTTTCAGACAATATCAATAGTCACTTATTTGAGCAAATATAGCTACTATGTAAGATATGGATACTATTTGTTGAAAAAACATAATGAAAATAAAGTTAACTGGATGTACATGAAAAACAAATAACATGCCAGAGCAAAGTTGAATTGTAGATGAGTTTTTGGTTTGAAATATGAGGACTGTCTATGAAATTGTTGAAATATTGATTAAATCTGAACGCAAATTGGTTTAGCGCTAATATCAACCGGTACTTCCAATTGACCATCGGAAACAATGTTTACAAGAAGTTACAAGCCATTTATTGTTAAACTATATGAACACAAATAACGGTATTGTGAGTTGTGGATTAACATGTTTGTAAAGGCTGAAGACAATCGTGTCACATATTGAAAATACCTTTGATATATTGCGTTTTCTTTTGCCGTTTTCTTCAATTAATATTTAACACAAAAGAGAAAGAAACAAAAACGGAAGATTACAATTATGGTATTTATCTCCAAACACATTGTCTGTGTTATTCAAAGAAACTTAATTCAGATAAAACTTTGGATACAATAAAACCCAATACTTTGTATAAAAAAAAAACGTTCACGGAATTTAAACTACAAATTATTGGAAATCTTTTTAGTCTTGTTTTAAAAGAAAAAAAGGTTGGTTGAATACGTCTCGAAAATCGTCAACCTTATCAATTTGAACGGAAATTATTATACGCTTTTGCCAAAAGTTTTGTTCGCACTGGATGCCAGAAACTATTAAAACTTGACATACAACTAATTGAAGAAATTATAATGTTTTGGGAAATATAGTTATATCGTACCAATTACATTTGTTGAAAATCTTGATGAAAATGAAAACAAAGTTAACTGCATGAACAACACTTAAAGATTCTAAAACAATGTTTGACCTACGTTTTAAAAAAATCGTTTCAGATATTTTTTTCTTATAATGTTTTTATGCATTTATATTTTAGACAGAATAAAAACAGCACAAGACAGCTGGGTCAATATCCCTAATGCGCATCAAATTGAGGAACTCGAAAGTAGTCCGTTAACAAAAAGTATATGTGCGGTGATATTAGACGTGTTTTAATTTTAACAAGTAACTGAGCTTAACCAATTGTGCTGATGTAGAGAACAGACGAAAATGCAATAAAGGTGTCAAAACTATGGAGTTATTTAATGTATGCAAAGAAGTACATTTTCAAAAGAACTTATTGTTTGAAAAAAAGGATCTTTTTTACCTCGATAAGCCAAATTACAAAAGGCATTTCGGGCAGTGCTAAATTATAAATAAATGATTTTCACTTCGTACCCCGAAAATTTAACCACATATGTGCATATTTCTCAATTTCGAAACGAGCCATCATACATATTCAAGATTATGATATTGGCAAAGAAATTGAAGTAAAGGTTACCTCTACCGCTTACCTAAAATGAATTGCTCATCTTTACACAGCTGCGGTGAGTATCTCAAAATTTTATTGCTACATGTTAATGCACTGCAACAAATCATAGTGTATTATCTCAGTGAAAAAGGTGGAGGGTCAAACCTTTTAAAGAACGAAGTGCTTCAACTATTCAGCTATGAAGCTTCTACTGATTGCTCCTCGTGAGAAAGGTTCAAATAAATATTGTGAAGCCTAAAGGTGGCAGCATTTCTCTTTATGTAATAATACTTTCCAAGTCAGGAATATGACAGTTGTTGTCCATTCGTTTGATGTGTTTGTGCTTTTGATTTTGCCATTTGATTTGGGACTTTCCGTTTTGAATTTTCCTCGGAGTTCAGTATTTTTGTGATTTAACTTTTTTCCAGAATTTGATTTTTTTCTCTCAATTATACAGTTTGTATTTAAATGAAATGATATAACAACCTGGTCAATGTTTTGTCTTATTTCAGTTTCTGACGTATCATTCTAGTTTAACTTGAGACGGAAGATTAGAGGTTTAAGAAAGTTCTGAATTTTCCTTAAGAGTTAAAAACACATACGTAAAAAAGTAAAGGTATTGATAAATTCAACAACAGTTGCTGATTAAAAGTTTTATTGAATTCTTTGAAATTGTCGTATCTAATTGAAAACTTTGTTCAGCGTTTTTAACTAACAAGTGTATCTAAAAGACCGCCAGGAAATGATTAAACTAGAATTTTCAGACAATATCAATAGTCACTTATTTGAGCAAATATAGCTACTATGTAAGATACTGATACTATTTGTTGAAAAAACATAATGAAAATAAAGTTAACAGGATGTACATGAAAAACAAATAACATGCCAGAGCAAAGTTGAATTGTAGATGAGTTTTTAGTTTGAAATATGAGGACTGTCTATGAAATTGTCGAAATATTGATCAAATCTGAACGCAAATTGGTTTAGCGCTAATATCAACCGGTACTTCCAATTGACCATCGGAAACAATGTTTACAAGAAGTTACAAGCCATTTATTGTTAAACTATATGAACACAAATAACGGTATTGTGAGTTGTGGATTAACATGTTTGCAAAGGCTGAAGACAATCGTGTCACATATTGAAAATACCTTTGATATATTGAGTTTTCTTTTGCCGTTTTCTTCAATTAATATTTAACACAAAAGAGAAAGAAACAAAAACGGAAGATTACAATTATGGTATTTATCTCCAAACACATTGTCTGTGTTATTCAAAGAAACTTAATTCAGATAAAACTTTGGATACAATAAAACCCAATACTTTGTATAAAAAAAAACGTTCACGGAATTTAAACTACAAATTATTGGAAATCTTTTTAGTCTTGTTTTAAAAGAAAAAAAGGTTTGTTGAATACGTCTCGAAAATCGTCAACCTTATCAATTTGAACGGAAATTATTATACGCTTTTGCCAAAAGTTTTGTTCGCACTGGATGCCAGAAACTATTAAAACTTGACATACAACTAATTGAAGAAATTATAATGTTTTGGGAAATATAGTTATATCGTACCAATTACATTTGTTGAAAATCTTGATAAAAATGAAAACAAAGTTAACTGCATGAACAACACTTAAAGATTCTAAAACAATGTTTGACCTACGTTTTAAAAAAATCGTTTCAGATATTTTTTTTCTTATAATGTTTTTATGAATTTATATTTTAGACAGAATAAAAACAGCACAAGACAGCTGGGTCAATATCCCTAATGCGCCTCAAATTGATGAACTCGAAAGTAGTCCGTTAACAAAAAGTATATGTGCGGTGATATTAGACGTGTTTTAATTTTAACAAGTAACTGAGCTTAACCAATTGTGCTGATGTAGAGAACAGACGAAAATGCAATAAAGGTGTCAAAACTATGGAGTTATTTAATATGTGCAAAGAAGTACATTTTCAAAAGAACTTATTGTTTGAAAAAAAGGATCTTTTTTACCTCGATAAGCCGAATCACAAAAGGCATTTCGGGCAGTGCTAAATTATAAAAAAATGATTTTCACTTCGTACCCCGAAAATTTAACCACATATGTGCATATGTCTCAACTTCGAAACGAGCCATCATACATATTCAAGTTTATGATATTGGCAAAGAAATTGAAGTAAAGGTTACCTCTACCGCTTACCTAAAATGAATTGCTCATCTTTACACAGCTGCGGTGAGTATCTCAAAATTTTATTGCTACATGTTAATGCACTGCAACAAATCATAGTGTATTATCTCAGTGAAAAAGGTGGAGGGTCAAACCTTTTAAAGAACGAAGTGCTTCAACTATTCAGCTATGAAGCTTCTACTGATTGCTCCTCATCAGAAAGGTTCAAATAAATATTGTGAAGCGTAAAGGTGGCAGCATTTCTCTTTATGTAATAATACTTTCCAGGTCAGGAATATGACAGTTGTTGTCCATTCGTTTGATGTGTTTGTGCTTTTGATTTTGCCATTTGATTTGGGACTTTCCGTTTTGAATTTTCTTCGGAGTTCAGTATTTTTGTGATTTAACTTTTTTCCAGAATTTGATTTTTTTTCTCTCAATTATACAGTTTGTATTTCAATGAAATGATATTACAACCTGGTCAGTGTTTTGTCTTATTTCAGTTTCTGACGTATCATTCTAGTTTAACTTGAGACGGAAGATTAGAGGTTTAAGAAAGTTCTGAGTTTTCCTTAAAAATTAAAAACAAATACGTAAAAAAGTAAAGGTATTGATAAATTCAACAACAGTTGTTGATTAAAAATTTTATTGAAGTCTTTGAAATTGTCGTATCTAATTGAAAACTTTGTTCAGCGTTTTTAACTAACAAGTGTATCTAAAAGACCGCCAGGAAATGATTTAACTAGAATTTTCAAACAATATCAATAGTCACTTATTTGAGCAAATATAGCTACTATGTAAGATATGGATACTATTTGTTGAAAAAAACATAATGAAAATAAAGTTAACTGGATGTACATGAAAAACAAATAACATGCCAGAGCAAAGTTGAATTGTAGATGAGTTTTTAGTTTGAAATATGAGGACTGTCTATGAAATTGTCGAAATATTGATCAAATCTGAACGTAAATTGGTTTAGCGCTAATATCAACCGGTACTTCCAATTGACCATCGGAAACAATGTTTACAAGAAGTTACAAGCCATTTATTGTTAAACTATATGAACACAAATAACGGTATTGTGAGTTGTGGATTAACATGTTTGTAAAGGCTGAAGACAATCGTTTCACATATTGAAAATACCTTTGATATATTGCGTTTTCTTTCGCCGTTTTCTTCAATTAATATTTAACACAAAAGATGAAGAAACAAAAACGGAAGATTACAATTATGGTATTTATCTCCAAACACATTGTCTGTGTTATTCAAAGAAACTTAATTCAGATAAAACTTTGAATACAATAAAACCCAATACTCTGTAAAAAAAAAAACGTTCACGCAATTTAAACTACAAATCATTGGAAATCTTTTTAGTCTTGTTTTAAAAGAAAAAAAGGTTTGTTGAATACGTCTCGAAAATCGTCAACCTTATCAAATTGAACGGAAATTATTATACGCTTTTGCCAAAAGTTTTGTTCGCACTGGATGCCAGAAACTATTAAAACTTGACATACAACTTATTGAAGAAATTATAATGTTTTGGGAAATATAGTCCTATCGTACCAATTACATTTGTTGAAAATCTTGATGAAAATGAAAACAAAGTTAACTGCATGAACAACACTTAAAGATTCTAAAACAATGTTTGACCTACGTTTTAAAAAAATCGTTTCGAATATTTTTTTTCTTATAATGTTTTTATGCATTTATATTTTAGACAGAATAAAAACAGCACACGACAGCTGGGTCAATATCCCTAATGCGCCTCAAATTGAGGAACTCGAAAGTAGTCCGTTAACAAAAAGTATATGTGCGGTGATATTAGACGTGTTTTAATTTAACAAGTAACTGAGCTTAACCAATTGTGCTGATGTAGAGAACAGACGAAAATGCAATAAAGGTGTCAAAACTATGGAGTTATTTAATGTATGCAAAGAAGTACATTTTCAAAAGAACTTATTGTTTGAAAAAAAAGGATCTTTTTTACCTCGATAAGCCGAATCACAAAAGGCATTTCGGGCAGTGCTAAATTATAAAAAAATGATTTTCACTTCGTACCCCGAAAATTTAACCACATATGTGCATATGTCTCAACTTCGAAACGAGCCATCATACATATTCAGGTTTATGATATTGGCAAAGAAATTGAAGTAAAGGTTACCTCTACCGCTTACCTAAAATGAATAGCTCATCTTTACCCAGCTGCGGTGAGTATCTCAAAATTTTATTGCTACATGTTAATGCACTGCAACAAATCATAGTGTATTATCTCAGTGAAAAAGGTGGAGGGTCAAACCTTTTAAAGAACGAAGTGCTTCAACTATTTAGCTATGAAGCTTCTACTGATTGCTCTTCATCAGAAAGGTTCAAATAAATATTGTGAAGCCTAAAGATGGCAGCATTTCACTTTATGTAATAATACTTTCCAAGTCAGGAATATGACAGTTGTTGTCCATTCCTTTGATGTGTTTGTGCTTTTGATTTTGCCATTTGATTAGGGACTTTCCGTTTTGAATTTTCCTCGGAGTTCAGTATTTTTGTGATTTAACTTTTTTCCAGAATTTGATTTTTTTTCTCTCAATTATACAGTTTGTATTTAAATGAAATGATATAACAACCTGGTCAGTGTTTTGTCTTATTTCAGTTTCTGACGTATCATTCTAGGTTAACTTGAGACGGAGGATTAGAGGTTTAAGAAAGTCCTGAATTTTCCTTAAAAATTAAAAACAATTACGTACAAAAGTAAAGGTATTGATAAATTAACAACAGTTGCTGATTAAAAATTTTATTGAAGTCTTTGAAATTGTCGTATCTAATTGAAAACTTTGTTCAGCGTTTTTAACTAACAAGTGTATCTAAAAGACCGCCAAGAAATGATTAAACTAGAATTTTCAGACAATATCAATAGTCACTTATTTGAGCAAATATAGCTACTATGTAAGATATGGATACTATTTGTTGAAAAAACATAATGAAAATAAAGTTAACTGGATGTACATGAAAAACAAATAACATGCCAGAGCAAAGTTGAATTGTAGATGAGTTTTTGGTTTGAAATATGAGGACTGTCTATGAAATTGTTGAAATATTGATTAAATCTGAACGCAAATTGGTTTAGCGCTAATATCAACCGGTACTTCCAATTGACCATCGGAAACAATGTTTACAAGAAGTTACAAGCCATTTATTGTTAATCTATATGAACACAAATAACGGTATTGTGAGTTGTGGATTAACATGTTTGTAAAGGCTGAAGACAATCGTGTCACATATTGAAAATACCTTTGATATATTGCGTTTTCTTTTGCCGTTTTCTTCAATTAATATTTAACACAAAAGAGAAAGAAACAAAAACGGAAGATTACAATTATGGTATTTATCTCCAAACACATTGTCTGTGTTATTCAAAGAAACTTAATTCAGATAAAACTTTGGATACAATAAAACCCAATACTTTGTATAAAAAAAAAACGTTCACGGAATTTAAACTACAAATTATTGGAAATCTTTTTAGTCTTGTTTTAAAAGAAAAAAAGGTTGGTTGAATACGTCTCGAAAATCGTCAACCTTATCAATTTGAACGGAAATTATTATACGCTTTTGCCAAAAGTTTTGTTCGCACTGGATGCCAGAAACTATTAAAACTTGACATACAACTAATTGAAGAAATTATAATGTTTTGGGAAATATAGTTATATCGTACCAATTACATTTGTTGAAAATCTTGATAAAAATGAAAACAAAGTTAACTGCATGAACAACACTTAAAGATTCTAAAACAATGTTTGACCTACGTTTTAAAAAAATCGTTTCAGATATTTTTTTCTTATAATGTTTTTATGCATTTATATTTTAGACAGAATAAGAACAGCACAAGACAGCTGGGTCAATATCCCTAATGCGCCTCAAATTGAGGAACTCGAAAGTAGTCCGTTAACAAAAAGTATATGTGCGGTGATATTAGACGTGTTTTAATTTTAACAAGTAACTGAGCTTAACCAATTGTGCTGATGTAGAGAACAGACGAAAATGCAATAAAGGTGTCAAAACTATGGAGTTATTTAATGTATGCAAAGAAGTACATTTTCAAAAGAACTTATTGTTTGAAAAAAAAGGATCTTTTTTACCTCGATAAGCCGAATCACAAAAGGCATTTCGGGCAGTGCTAAATTATAAATAAATGATTTTCACTTCGTACCCCGAAAATTTAACCACATATGTGCATATGTCTCAATTTCGAAACGAGCCATCATACATATTCAAGATTATGATATTGGCAAAGAAATTGAAGTAAAGGTTACCTCTACCGCTTACCTAAAATGAATTGCTCATCTTTACACAGCTGCGGTGAGTATCTCAAAATTTTATTGCTACATGTTAATGCACTGCAACAAATCATAGTGTATTATCTCAGTGAAAAAGGTGGAGGGTCAAACCTTTTAAAGAACGAAGTGCTTCAACTATTCAGCTATGAAGCTTCTACTGATTGCTCCTCGTGAGAAAGGTTCAAATAAATATTGTGAAGCCTAAAGGTGGCAGCATTTCTCTTTATGTAATAATACTTTCCAAGTCAGGAATATGACAGTTGTTGTCCATTCGTTTGATGTGTTTGTGCTTTTGATTTTGCCATTTGATTAGGGACTTTCCGTTTTGAATTTTCCTCGGAGTTCAGTATTTTTGTGATTTAACTTTTTTCCAGAATTTGATTTTTTTTCTCTCAATTATACAGTTTGTATTTAAATGAAATGATATAACAACCTGGTCAATGTTTTGTCTTATTTCAGTTTCTGACGTATCATTCTAGTTTAACTTGAGACGGAAGATTAGAGGTTTAAGAAAGTTCTGAATTTTCCTTAAGAATTAAAAACAAATACGTAAAAAGTAAAGGTATTGATAAATTCAACAACAGTTGCTGATTAAAAATTTGATTGAAGTCTTTGAAATTGTCGTATCTAATTGAAAACTTTGTTCAGCGTTTTTAACTAACAAGTGTATCTAAAAGACCGCCATGAAATGATTAAACTAGAATTTTCAGACAATATCAATAGTCACTTATTTGAGCAAATATAGCTACTATGTAAGATATGGATACTATTTGTTGAAAAAACATAATGAAAATAAAGTTAACTGGATGTACATGAAAAACAAATAACATGCCAGAGCAAAGTTGAATTGTAGATGAGTTTTTAGTTTGAAATATGAGGACTGTCTATGAAATTGTCGAAATATTGATCAAATCTGAACGCAAATTGGTTTAGCGCTAATATCAACCGGTACTTCCAATTGACCATCGGAAACATTGTTTACAAGAAGTTACAAGCCATTTATTGTTAAACTATATGAACACAAATAACGGTATTGTGAGTTGTGGATTAACATGTTTGTAAAGGCTGAAGACAATCGTGTCACATATTGAAAATACCTTTGATATATTGCGTTTTCTTTCGCCGTTTTCTTCAATTAATATTTAAATCAAAAGATGAAGAAACAAAAACGGAAGATTACAATTATGGTATTTATCTCCAAACACATTGTCTGTGTTATTCAAAGAAACTTAATTCAGATAAAACTTTGGATACAATAAAACCCAATACTCTGTAAAAAAAAAAAACGTTCACGCAATTTAAACTACAAATCATTGGAAATCTTTTTAGTCTTGTTTTAAAAGAAAAAAAGGTTTGTTGAATACGTCTCGAAAATCGTCAACCTTATCAAATTGAACGGAAATTATTATACGCTTTTTCCAAAAGTTTTGTTCGCACTGGATGCCAGAAACTATTAAAACTTGACATACAACTTATTGAAGAAATTATAATGTTTTGGGAAATATAGTTCTATCGTACCAATTACATTTGTTGAAAATCTTGATGAAAATGAAAACAAAGTTAACTGCATGAACAACACTTAAAGATTCTAAAACAATGTTTGACCTACGTTTTAAAAAAATCGTTTCGAATATTTTTTTTCTTATAATGTTTTTATGCATTTATATTTTAGACAGAATAAAAACAGCACAAGACAGCTGGGTCAATATCCCTAATGCGCCTCAAATTGAGGAACTCGAAAGTAGTCCGTTAACAAAAAGTATATGTGCGGTGATATTAGACGTGTTTTAATTTAACAAGTAACTGAGCTTAACCAATTGTGCTGATGTAGAGAACAGACGAAAATGCAATAAAGGTGTCAAAACTATGGAGTTATTTAATGTATGCAAAGAAGTACATTTTCAAAAGAACTTATTGTTTGAAAAAAAAAGGATCTTTTTTACCTCGATAAGCCGAATCACAAAAGGCATTTCGGGCAGTGCTAAATTATAAAAAAATGATTTTCACTTCGTACCCCGAAAATTTAACCACATATGTGCATATGTCTCAACTTCGAAACGAGCCATCATACATATTCAAGTTTATGATATTGGCAAAGAAATTGAAGTAAAGGTTACCTCTACCGCTTACCTAAAATGAATTGCTCATCTTTACCCAGCTGCGGTGAGTATCTCAAAATTTTATTGCTACATGTTAATGCACTGCAACAAATCATAGTGTATTATCTCAGTGAAAAAGGTGGAGGGTCAAACCTTTTAAAGAACGAAGTGCTTCAACTATTTAGCTCTGAAGCTTCTACTGATTGCTCCTCATCAGAAAGGTTCAAATAAATATTGTGAAGCCTAAAGGTGGCAGCATTTCTCTTAATGTAATAATACTTTCAAAGTCAGTAATATGACAGCTGTTGTCCATTCGTTTGATGTGTTTGTGCTTTTGATTTTGCCATTTGATTAGGGACTTTCCGTTTTGAATTTTCCTCGGAGTTCAGTATTTTTGTGATTTAACTTTTTTCCAGAATTTGATTTTTGTTTCTCAATTATACAGTTTGTATTTAAATGAAATGATATAACAACCTGGTCAATGTTTTGTCTTATTTCAGTTTCTGACTTATCATTCTAGTTTAACTTGAGACGGAAGATTAGAGGTTTGAGAAAGTTTTGAATTTTCCTTCAAAATTAAAAACAAATACGTAAAAAAGTAAAGGTATTGATAAATTCAACAACAGTTGTTGATTAAAAATTTTATTGAAGTCTTTGAAATTGTCGTATCTTATTGAAAACTTTGTTCAGCGTTTTTACCTAACAAGTGTATCTAAAAGACCGCCATGAAATGATTAAACTAGAATTTTCAGACAATATCAATAGTCACTTATTTGAGCAAATATAGCTACAATGTAAGATATGGATACCATTTGTTGAAAAAACATAATGAAAATAAAGTTAACTGGATGTACATGAAAAACAAATAACATGCCAGAGCAAAGTTGAATTGTAGATGAGTTTTTGGTTTGAAATATGAGGACTGTCTATGAAATTGTCGAAATATTGATCAAATCTGAACGCAAATTGGTTTAGCGCTAATATCAACCGGTACTTCCAATTGACCATCGGAAACAATGTTGACAAGAAGTTATAAGCCATTTATTGTTAAACTATATGAACACAAATAACGGTATTGTGAGTTGTGGATTTATATGTTTGTAAAGGCTGAAGACAATCGTGTCACATATTGAAAATACCTTTGATATATTGCGTTTTCTTTTGCCGTCTTCTTCAATTAATATTTAAAACAAAAGAGAAAGAAACAAGAACGGAAGATTACAATTATGGTATTTATCTCTAAACACATTGTTTGTGTTATTCAAAGAAACTTAATTCAGATAAAACTTTGGATACAATAAAACCCAATACTCTGTAAAAAAAAAAACGTTCACGCAATTTAAACTACAAATCATTGGAAATCTTTTTAGTCTTGTTTTAAAAGAAAAAAAGGTTTGTTGAATACGTCTCGAAAATCGTCAACCTTATCAATTTGAACGGAACTTATTATACGCTTTTGCCAAAAGTTTTGTTCGCACTGGATGCCAGAAACTATTAAAACTTGACATACAACTAATTGAAGAAATTATAATGTTTTGGGAAATATAGTTCTATCGTACCAATTACATTTGTTGAAAATCTTGATGAAAATGAAAACAAAGTTAACTGCATGAACAACACTTAAAGATTCTAAAACAATGTTTGACCTACGTTTTAAAAAAATCGTTTCAGATATTTTTTTTCTTATAATGTTTTTATGCATTTATATTTTAGACAAAATAAAAACAGCATAAGACAGCTGGGTCAATATCCCTAATGCGCCTCAAATTGAGGAACTCGAAAGTAGTCCGTTAACAAAAAAGTATATGTGCGGTGATATTAGACGTGTTTTAATTTTAACAAGTAACTGAGCTTAACCAATTGTGCTGATGTAGAGAACAGACGAAAATGCAATAAAGGTGTCAAAACTATGGAGTTATTTAATGTATGCAAAGAAGTACATTTTCAAAAGAACTTATTGTTTGAAAAAAAAGGATCTTTTTTACCTCGATAAGCCGAAACACAAAAGGCATTTCGGGCAGTGCTAAATTATAAAAAAATGATTTTCACTTCGTACCCCGAAAATTTAACCACATATGTGCATATGTCTCAACTTCGAAACGAGCCATCATACATATTCAGGTTTATGATATTGGCAAAGAAATTGAAGTAAAGGTTACCTCTACCGCTTACCTAAAATGAATAGCTCATCTTTACCCAGCTGCGGTGAGTATCTCAAAATTTTATTGCTACATGTTAATGTACTGCAACAAATCATAGTGTATTATCTCAGTGAAAAAGGTGGAGGGTCAAACCTTTTAAAGAACGAAGTGCTTCAACTATTCAGCTATGAAGCTTCTACTGATTGCTCCTCATCAGAAGGTTCCAATAAATATTGTGAAGCCTAAAGGTGGCAGCATTTCACTTTATGTAATAATACTTTCCAAGTCAGGAATATGACAGTTGTTGTCCATTCCTTTGATGTGTTTGTGCTTTTGATTTTGCCATTTGATTAGGGACTTTCCGTTTTGAATTTTCCTCGGAATTCAGTATTTTTGTGATTTAACTTTTTTCCAGAATTTGATTTTTTTCTCTCAATTATACAGTTTGTATTTAAATGAAATGATATTACAACCTGGTCAGTGTTTTGTCTTATTTCAGTTTCTGACGTATCATTCTAGTTTAACTTGAGACGGAGGATTAGAGGTTTAAGAAAGTTCTGAATTTTCCTTAAAAATTAAAAACAATTACGTAAAAAAGTAAAGGTATTGATAAATTCAACAACAGTTGCTGATTAAAAATTTTATTGAAGTCTTTGAAATTGTCGTATCTAATTGAAAACTTTGTTCAGCGTTTTTAACTAACAAGTGTATTTAAATGACCGCCAAGAAATGATTAAACTAGAATTTTCTGACAATATCAATAGTCACTTATTTGAGCAAATATAGCTACTATGTAAGATATGGATACTATTTGTTGAAAAAACATAATGAAAATAAAGTTAACTGGATGTACATGAAAAACAAATAACATGCCAGAGCAAAGTTGAATTGTAGAGGAGTTTTTAGTTTGAAATATGAGGACTGCCTATGAAATTGTCGAAATATTGATTAAATCTGAACGCAAATTGGTTTAGCGCTAATATCAACCGGTACTTCCAATTGACCATCGGAAACAATGTTTACAAGAAGTTACAAGCCATTTATTGTTAAACTATATGAACACAAATAACGGTATTGTGAGTTGTGGATTTACATGTGTGTAAAAGCTGAAGACAATCGTGTCACATATTGAAAATACCTTTGATATATTGCGTTTTGTTTTGCCGTTTTCTTCAATTAATATTTAACACAAAAGATAAAGGAACAAAAACGGAAGATTACAATTATGGTATTTATCTCCAAACACATTGTCTGTGTTATTCAAAGAAACTTAATTCAGATAAAACTTTGGATACAATAAGACCCAATACTCTGTAAAAAAAAACGTTCACGCAATTTAAACTACAAATCATTGGAAATCTTTTTAGTCTTGTTTTAAAAGAAAAAAAGGTTTGTTGAATACGTCTCGAAAATCGTCAACCTTATCAATTTGAACGGAAATTATTATACGCTTTTGCCAAAAATTTTGTTCGCACTGGGTGCCAGAAACTATTAAAACTTGACATAATACTAATTGAAGAAATTATAATGTTTGGGGAAATATAGTTCTATCGTACCAATTATATTTGTTGAAAATCTTGATGAAAATGAAAACAAAGTTAACTGCATGAACAACACTTAAAGATTCTAAAACAATGTTTGACCTACGTTTTAAAAAAATCGTTTCAGATATTTTTTTTTTATAATGTTTTTATGCATTTATATTTTAGACAGAATAAAAACAGCACAAGACAGCTGGGTCAATATCCCTAATGCGTCTCAAATTGAGGAACTCGAAAGTAGTCCTTAACAAAACGTATATGTGCGGAGATATAAGACGTGTTTTAATTTCAACAAGTAACTGAGCTTAACCAATTGTGCTGATGTAGAGAACAGACGAAAATGCAATAAAGGTGTCAAAACTATGGAGTTATTTAATGTATGCAAAGAAGTACATTTTCAAAAGAACTTATTGTTTGAAAAAAAAGGATCTCTTTTACCTCGTTAAGCCGAATCACAAAAGGCATTTCGGGCAGTGCTAAATGATAAAAAATGATTTTCACTTCGTACCCCGAAAATTTAACCACATATGTGCATATGTCTCAACTTCGAAACGAGCCATCATACATATTCAAGTTTATGATATTGGCAAAGAAATTGAAGCAAAGGTTACCTCTACCGCTTACCTAAAATGAATAGCTCATCTTTACCCAGCTGCGGTGAGTATCTCAAAATTTTATTGCTACATGTTAATGCACTGCAACAAATCATAGTGTATTATCTCAGTGAAAAAGGTGGAGGGTCAAACCTTTTAAAGAACGAAGTGCTTCAACTATTCAGCTATGAAGCTTCTACTGATTGCTCCTCATCAGAAAGGTTCCAATAAATATTGTGAAGCCTAAAGGTGGCAGCATTTCACTTTATGTAATAATACTTTCCAAGTCAGGAATATGACAGTTGTTGTCCATTCCTTTGATGTGTTTGTGCTTTTGATTTTCCCATTTGATTAGGGACTTTCCGTTTTGAATTTTCCTCGGAGTTCAGTATTTTTGTGATTTAACTTTTTTCCAGAATTTGATTTTTTTCTCTCAATTATACAGTTTGTATTTAAATGAAATGATATAACAACCTGGTCAGTGTTTTGTCTTATTTCAGTTTCTGACGTATCATTATAGTTTAACTTGAGACGGAGGATTAGAGGTTTAAGAAAGTTCTGAATTTTCCTTAGAAATTAAAAACAATTACGTAAAAAAGTAAAGGTATTGATAAATTCAACAACAGTTGCTGATTAAAAATTTTATTGAAGTCTTTGAAATTGTCGTATCTAATTGAAAACTTTGTTCAGCGTTTTTAACTAACAAGTGTATCTAAAAGACCGCCAAGAAATGATTAAACTAGAATTTTCAGACAATATCAATAGTCACTTATTTGAGCAAATATAGCTACTATGTAAGATATGGATACTATTTGTTGAAAAAACATAATGAAAATAAAGTTAACTGGATGTACATGAAAAACAAATAACATGCCAGAGCAAAGTTGAATTGTAGAGGAGTTTTTAGTTTGAAATATGAGGACTGCCTATGAAATTGTCGAAATATTGATTAAATCTGAACGCAAATTGGTTTAGCGCTAATATCAACCGGTACTTCCAATTGACCATCGGAAACAATGTTTACAAGAAGTTACAAGCCATTTATTGTTAAACTATATGAACACAAATAACGGTATTGTGAGTTGTGGATTTACATGTTTGTAAAAGCTGAAGACAATCGTGTCACAAATTGAAAATACCTTTGATATATTGCGTTTTGTTTTGCCGTTTTCTTCAATTAATATTTAACACAAAAGATAAAGGAACAAAAACGGAAGATTACAATTATGGTATTTATCTCCAAACACATTGTCTGTGTTATTCAAAGAAACTTAATTCAGATAAAACTTTGGATACAATAAGACCCAATACTCTGAAAAAAAAAAACGTTCACGCAATTTAAACTACAAATCATTGGAAATCTTTTTAGTCTTGTTTTAAAAGAAAAAAAGGTTTGTTGAATACGTCTCGAAAATCGTCAACCTTATCAATTTGAACGGAAATTATTATACGCTTTTGCCAAAAATTTTGTTCGCACTGGGTGCCAGAAACTATTAAAACTTGACATAATACTAATTGAAGAAATTATAATGTTTGGGGAAATATAGTTCTATCGTACCAATTATATTTGTTGAAAATCTTGATGAAAATGAAAACAAAGTTAACTGCATGAACAACACTTAAAGATTCTAAAACAATGTTTGACCTACGTTTTAAAAAAATCGTTTCAGATATTTTTTTCTATAATGTTTTTATGCATTTATATATTGTAGACAGAATAAAAACAGCACAAGACAGCTGGGTCAATATCCCTAATGCGTCTCAAATTGAGGAACTCGAAAGTAGTCCTTAACAAAAAGTATATGTGCGGAGATATAAGACGTGTTTTAATTTTAACAAGTAACTGAGCTTAACCAATTGTGCTGATGTAGAGAACAGACGAAAATGCAATAAAGGTGTCAAAACTATGGAGTTATTTAATGTATGCAAAGAAGTACATTTTCAAAAGAACTTATTGTTTGAAAAAAAGGATCTTTTTTACCTCGTTAAGCCGAATCACAAAAGGCATTTCGGGCAGTGCTAAATGATAAAAAATGATTTTCACTTCGTACCCCGAAAATTTAACCACATATGTGCATATGTCTCAACTTCGAAACGAGCCATCATACATATTCAAGTTTATGATATTGGCAAAGAAATTGAAGCAAAGGTTACCTCTACCGCTTACCTAAAATGCATTGCTCATCTTTACCCAGCTGCGGTGAGTATCTCAAAATTTTATTGCTACATGTTAATGCACTGCAACAAATCATAGTGTATTATCTCAGTGAAAAAGGTGGAGGGTCAAACCTTTTAAAGAACGAAGTGCTTCAACTATTTAGCTATGAAGCTTCTACTGATTGCTCCTCATCAGAAAGGTTCAAATAAATATTGTGAAGCCTAAAGGTGGCAGCATTTCTCTTTATGTAATAATACTTTCTGAGTCAGGAATATGACAGTTGTTGTCCATTCGTTTGATGTGTTTGTGCTTTTGATTTTGCCATTTGATTAGAGACTTTCCGTTTTGAATTTTCCTCGGAGTTCAGTAATTTTGTGATTTAACTTTTTTCCAGAATTTGATTTTTTTTCTCTCAATTATACAGTTTGTATTTAAATGAAATGATATTACAACCTGGTCAATGTTTTGTCTTATTTCAGTTTCTGACGTATCATTCTAGTTTAACTTGAGACGGAAGAGAGGTTTAAGAAAGTTCTAAGTTTTCCTTAAAAATTAAAAACAAATACGTAAAAAAGTAAAGGTATTGATAAATTTTAACAACAGTTGTTGATTAAAAATTTTATTGAAGTCTTTGAAATTGTCGTATCTAATTGAAAACTTTGTTCAGCGTTTTTAACTAACAAGTGTATCTAAAAGACCGCCAGGAAATGATTAAACTAGAATTTTCAGACAATATCAATAGTCGCTTATTTGAGCAAATATAGCTACAATG